GTTCCACTCTCTAGGAGCTGCTGTGAGCCCTGTGTGATCAGCTCTAGGGCCATGTTCTCCTGGTGTCCTCTACCCCTCTGGCTCCTAGAATCCTTCCTCTCCCTCTTCTGTATTTCCCTGACTTTGCCTACCACAAGTTGGCTGTAGGTCTCTGTATCTGCTCCACTCAGTTGATGGATGATGGCTCTTTGATGACACTTAGTCTAGGTTCTGATCTCTGAGAATAGAAAAATATCATTAGGAATAATTTCATTGACCTTTTTTTTTACCAGTAGTATTTGGCACTATCGTGGGTCTTTGGGATGACCATCCTCTGGCTCCTGTCCATCCACATAGTGGCAGGCATGGACTCCTTCTCATGGGGTTGACCTCAAGTTGAACCAGTTATATGTTGGTCACTCCCACAAGTTCTGCACCACATCTTACAGGAAGAACATATTGTAGGTAGAAGGTTTTGTAATGGGATTGATGTCCTAGGCACACTACTGTGAGTCTTGCTCAATTATAGAAGGTAAGCAGTTCATGCTCCATACACCCTACTTCTTTGTAGACTGCATTAGGGTCATTCTCTTAGATTCCATGGAATTTCCACTGCAGTAGGTTTTTATATTTCCCCCTACACCACATGACAAATTTTTCAATCATCTCTTCCACTTCTCGATCCCTTTACTCCCCTACTTGAATCCTCTTGCTCCTATCTCTATCAGCCCTCAGTCTACCTGCAAAATATATTCCCTTTCATAGAGAGTTTCATGAACTCCCGGTTGACACCTCTTTGTTACTTAGCTTCTCCGGTCTGTGGGTTGCAGAATGGATATCCTTCACTTAACTGCTAATGTCTACTTGTAAGTGACAGCATACCATGGCTGTCTTTTCATATCTGGGTTACCGCACTCATGATGATTTACTTCTAGTATCATCCATTTGCCTGCAAAATTTAATAATGTCATTGTTTTGAACAGCTGAGTAACATTCCATTTTGTAAATGTGCCACATTTCCTTTATGCATTTTTTTTTTGTTGGTTGAGGGACATGTAGTTTTTTTCTACACTTTCTGACTATTATGAATAAAACAGCTATGAATGTAGTTGAGCAAGTATTTTGTGGTAGGATAAAACACCTTTTGGGTATATGTTCAGGAGTAGCACAGTTGTGTCTTGAGATAGATCAAATCCCAATTTTCTGAAGAACCTCCATATTTATTTTCATAGTGGCTGTGCAAGTTTACACTTCTACCATCAAGGGAGGAATATTCTTCTTGCTCTAAATCCTTGCCAGCATGAGCTGTTACTGTGTCATTGATCTTAGCCAGTCTGACAGGGGTAGACAGAATTTGAAAACAGTTTTGATTTGCATTTCCCTGATGATTAAGGATGCTGAACATTTCTTTAAGTGTTTCTTGACCTTCTGAGATTCCTGTTGAGAATTCTTTGTTTAGATCTGTTGGCTCCTTGCTGTTAGGTCCAGGGCTGAGTGAGATGGTGAGTGTGTTGATGACCAAAAAGAAACACCAGGCTGGAAATCTTGTTGAAGCAGGAACTCAACTCAATTGCATCAGTGTCTCACTTATATAAACTCAGAGCATAGGGAGGGGGGATTTTTGGTGGGGTGAGATGACATAGGAGGCAGGGAAGGGTAATCGAGAGTATGGGGTGACTGACGGGGCCAATGGAAAAGCTCTACATCAGCAACAGTGGGGCAGAGGCAGAGCCATTGGTCTTGCTGAGTCACCCCAGTACAGAAGTGACTGAGATAGGTCTCAAAACTCAAGCCATGATTAGGCTCTCCCACAAGGCCACAGAAACTTGATTTAGGCTCAGGTTTGTCCACAAGGTCCAAACCAGGGATGAAATGGGGCCGAACATGGATCTATATCCTGTTTTAAATTGGATTATTTGGTTTGTTGATGTCTAGTTTCTTGAGTTCATTATATATTTTGGAAACTAACCCTCTGTTAGATATGAAGTTGGTAAAATTTTTTCCCATTCTGTAGGCTGCAATTTTGTTCTGTTGACAGTGTTCTGTGCCTTATAAAAGCTTTTAAATTTTCACTTTCATTTATTGATTGTTGCTCTAAGTGTCTCTACTACCACTGTTTTGTTCAGGAAGTTTTCTTCTGTGCCAATGCATTCATGAATGTTCCCTACTTCTTTTTTATTAGGTTCAGTGCCTACAATTTTTATGTTGAAGTCCTTGATCCACTTGGACTTGAGTTTTGTTCAGGAAAATGAGTATGGTTTTATTTTTACTCTTCTACAGATGGATTTCCAGGTGAACCATTTTGTTTTTAAAGGTAGCAGCCTCCAAGTGAGTTCAAAGGGCATTGCCTGTTCCTTATTTGCTTTGGCTAAAGAATTGAAAAGCTTTATTTTAACCACATTGTTTTTAACTTTAAGGTCAGAGTTTAACAAGCTCCAAGGCTATCTTTCGTACAACCAAAGAATGAACATAATTATTTACATTTCATTTTTTTAAAAATAGAAATCGAACAAACACAATCTTATCTGTAGTGGAAACTTCTGGTTTCATTGCAAAGTCATTCATGTCTAATGAGGTTTTGCTAGGGCACACAAGTGAAAGGAGGTATTGCTAAAACAGACAGACACAGGTGAAAGGACATTTTGCTGTAACAAACACACAAAATGACACATCATGTTCAGAAGAAATATAAATATGACCCTACGAATAATTGGAACTAGAGCATTGGATTAGTTTGCTCCACGTTGCTATTCTTTGTTGAGAACACGTATGTATTGGTTGTGCTACACATCACTTGTGGTGATGCCATAGAGCAGAGTTCACCAATGAACAACTTGTGAAGTTCCCGCAGCTTCTTGATGCTTCTGTGGTCTTGGGCCTATTGGCAAGCCTTGCCATTTCTTCTAGATTGAACTGCCTTTGCTGGTTCATGTGTGGTGTCTCCTGAGAAGACTGGACTGCAGCTGCTGATTCATATCTGGTGTTTGCTACTGGACTGAAATGCTGAAATCCTGAAAAAAAAATTGGACTTGCTCCCCAAAAACTATTTCTAAATAGGTCTAGTTCCCTGTGTCCTAATAAACTTTCTTTTTCTCTATCCCTGGTGGGTGGTGGGCTAAAGAAGAGGTTGAACCCTGGTTAAAGGAGATTGAGAAATGTTTATGCCTACAGTTCTCCTAATGTAGTTATTTACAAAGTCAGTCAGAATAAAAAGACAAAAGCTTTCTGGGCATTTCTTTAAACATTCAAGGTACTGGTAAAACTGTTCTTATTCAAGTGTTTGTGTGATTGTGTGTATGTGTGATTGTGTGTATGTGTGATTGTGTGTGTGTGTGTCCATGTACACAATGTAAATCTATTTATGGCTTTGAATACATGCATAAATATGTATGCATGTGCAGGTGCACATGTACATGTATGCATAGTATAGAGGTTAGAAGTCAGTGTAGATAGTCTTTCTCTACAATGCTCAATCTTAAGTCTTTTGATACAGTCTCTTCACTGAAACTGTTGATGGTTCACTCAGTCAAAATGCCTGGTTGGTACACTAGAGTAATACTGCTGTCTTGATGTTTGTGGGACTATAATGGCCCAGAATCACTGAGGAAGTGTCGAAAGAGCTTCAACCCAGAGAACTTCAATCCTTCAATCATGAGAATGGCAGGAATTGGCTTTCTCAATGCCTCCCAACCTGGCACCATAAAATCAGCTCCCATAACCATCAACTACTCCCAGAAATAATTTACTGTCCTGACTGTTTAAGACTTTACTTCTCATTTGACTTTCCAAAGTTTTCCTCTAAGACCCTATAGACCTTGAATACAATGATGAAGCACCTTCCAACACCCTGCCAATGGTCCATGTCCATACAAACCTTTCACAAGAGACCCTAGCTACCTCCCTAGGGGAATAATACCCTCCCCAATAAATCTGTTTTCTAAAGCTGTTCCTGAGTGTGTTCTCTGCCTGGGAGCTCATTGCCAACAAAGATCCTGCAATGCATTCACCCATGACAAATCTAAATATTCCTCCCTGTAGCTCATCCCAGTGCATAACAGGCCTGGATAACCCAAGAGAGACAGCAGAAATGGGGTTGCAGTTTCTCCCAAGGTTGTTGTTAGAGGCAAATACAGAGAAGCCTAGATTTTCACTTAAACACTAAGAATTTGAAGACAGCTCTCAAAGATTAGGAATCAAATACTTTGCCCATTGAACCACCTTCCCAGTTGTGCTGTACAGTTTTATATCAACTTGTCAAAAATTAGAGTCATTTGTAGACAAATGGTCAAATCTATACCACATTTTCTTGATTGATGATGGATGTGAAGGCCCAGCTCATTGTAGAGGTACCATGCCTAGGCAGGAAGTTTTGGAATCTATAAGAAAGCAGGCTGAACAATCATTAAGAGCAAAACAATAAGTAGTTTCCTTTCATGGTCTTTGCATTGGCTATTCTATCCAGGTTCCTGACCAGACTTCCCTCAGTGATGAACTGTGGTGTAGAACCATAAGTAAAACAAACCCTTTCCCCTATAAGTTGATTTTGGTCCTTGTGTTTTATCACAGCAATAGAAACACTGACTAAGACACCTTAGCCCTAAGAGAGTTTTGTTTTTTAATGAATTACTTGATATAGTTTAGTAAATAATTTAACAATTCTTCCTCTTACTGAGTTGTCTTCCTTAGCCTTAATATGTGGGTTTGTTTCTAGTTTAGTTGTAACTTGTTACATCATGTTCTGTTGCTATCCCTGAGAGGTCAGCACTGCATTTTTGAAAGAAAATGAAGAGGAGTGGCTCAAGCAGAGAAGGGAGGTTGAGGGGAGGGACTGTGAAGAGTGGAGAGAGTTCCAGGGAGGTAAGGCAAGAGAAAAATAAAAAAAAAATAAGAAACACAATTCAATGTCAGAAATGAAAAGAAATTTACATTTCAGTAAATAATTTAGCCACTTTGTACTTTCTTGAAAAGGTAGCAGTGGGATTTTCAAAGTAGAAACATTTTTAAGCAGTCAGAAGAACAACATGGGAGAACCTGAGAAAAGGGCTGCAACCCATGGCGTCAGATGCTTTGCTAAGATCAAGGTATGGATTGTTTCTATGTATGCATGTATATACTCATGGAAGCAAGCAAAGAAAGTGATTATAATATTACTCAGTTTATATGAAGTTTTCCAACATGAAAAGAATTTTAATAGATGTGTTGTTAAATTTCTTTTTTTATTGGATGTTTTATTTACATTTCATATGCTATCCCCTTACCCTATCCCTCACCCACCCAGGAACCCCCTAAACCTTCACCCCTCCTCCTGCTTCTCTGTCGATGTACCCCAACCTACCCACCCCACTTGCACCTCCCCATCCTCAAATTCCCACCCCCTGGGGCATCCAGCCTTCATGAGACCAAGGATCTCTTCTCCCACCTATGCCCACCAGGACCCTCCACTCTTACATATACAACTGAAGCCATGGATCCCTCCATAAGTGCTCCCAGGCTGGTGGTTTAGACCCTGGGAGCTCTGGTTGGTTAGTATTGTTGCTCTCCTCATGGGGCCACAAACCTTTTCTGCTCCTACAGTCTTCACTCTGACTCCTGCATTGGAAACTCCATGATCAGTTCAAAAGTTAGCTGTGAGCATCTGCCTCTGAATATGTCAGACTCTTGAAGACCTCTGAGGAGACATCTATATCAGGCTCTTATCAGCATGCACTTCCTGACTTCCACATCAGCATCTACCTTTGGTGACTGCACATGGGATGGATACTCAGGTGGAATGGTCTTCAGATGGCCCCTCCTTCAGTTTCTGTCCCTCACTTTGTCTCCATATTTGCTCCCTTGAGTATTTTGTTGCTCCTTCTAAGAAGGACCGAATCACCCCCACTTGGTCTTCCTTCTTCATGAGCTTCATGAGGCCTGTTAGTTGAATCTTAGGTAATTCAAGGTTCTGGGCTAATATCCAGTAATCAGTGAGTTAATACCATGTGTGTTCTTTTGTGATTGGCTTACCTCACTCAGGATGATATTTTCTAATTCCATCCATTTACCTAGGAATTTCTCAAATTTATTGTTTTTAATAGCTGAGTAATACTCCATTGTGTAAATGTACCACATTTTCTGTAACCATTCCTCAGTTGAAGGACATCTGGGTTCTTTCCAGCTTCTGGCTATGATAAATAAGGCTGTTATGAATATAGTTGAGCATATGTCCTTGTTATATGTTCGAGAATCTTCTGGGTATATGCCTAGGAGTGGTATAACTGGATCCTCAGGTAATGCTATGTCCAACTTTCTGAGGAGCCACCAGACTGATTTCCAAAGTGGTTGCACCATCTTGCAGTCCCACCAGCAATGGAGGAGTGTTCCTCTTTCTCTACACCCTCGCCAGAATCTACTATCACCTGAGTTTTTAATCTTAGCCATTCTGACTGGTGTGAGATGGAATCTCAGGGTTGTTTTGATTTGCATTTCCCTGATGACTAAGGATACTGAACATTTCTTTAGGTGCTTCTCAGCCAGTCATGTTTCCTCAGTTGAAAATTCTTTGTTAAGCTCTATACCCCATTTTTTAATAGGGTTATTTGGTTGTCTGGAGTCTAATTTCTTGAGGTCTTTGTATATATTCGATATTAGCCCTCTATCAGATGTAGGATTGGTAAAGATCTTTTCCCAATTTGTTGGCTGTCATTTTGTCCTATTGACAGTGTCCTTTGCCTTACAGAAACTTTGCAATTTTATGAAGTCCCATTTGTCAATTCTTGATCTTAAAGCATATGCCATTGGTGTTCTATTCAGGAACTTTCCCCTGTGCCCAAGTATTCAGGGTTCTTCCCCACCTTCTCTTCTATTAGTTTCAGTGTATCTGGTTTTATGTGGAGGTCCTTTATCCATTTAGACTTGAGTTTTGTACAAGGAGATAAGAATGGATCAATTTTCATTCTTCTACATGTTGTCCTCCAGTTGAACCAGCACCATTTGTTGAAAATGCTGTCCTTTTTCCACTGGATCGTTTTAGCTCCGTTGTCAAAGATCAAGTGACCATAGGAGTATGGGTTCATTTCTGGGTCTTCAATTCTATTCCATTGATCTTCCTGCCTGTCTCTGTACCAATACCATGTAGTTTTTTTTTTTTTTTATCACTATTGCTCTGTAGTACAGCTTGAGGTCAGGGATGGTGATTTCTCCAGAAGTTCTTTTATTGTTGAGAATAGTTTTCACTATTCTGGGTTTTTTGTTATTCCAAATGAATTTGAGAATTTTGTTTTCTAACTCTGTGAAGAATTGAGTTGGGATTTTAATGGGAATTGCATTGAATCTGTAGATTGCTTTTGGCAAGATGGCGATTTTTATTATATTAATCCTGCCAATCCATGAGCATCGGAGATCTTTCCATCTTCTGAGATCTTCTTCAATTTCTTTCTTCAGGGACTTGAAGTTCTTGTCATACAGGTATTTCACTTGCTTGGTTAGGTTCATACCATGGTATTTTATAGTATTTGCGACTATTGTGAAGGGTGTCATTTCCCTAATTTCTTTTTCAGTTTGTTTATCTTTCATGTAGATTATGGCTACTGATTTGTTTGAGTTGATTTTATAACCAGCCACTTTGCTGAAGTTGTTTATCAGGTTTAGGAGTTCTCTGGTGGAAGTTTTGGGGTCACTTAAATATACTATCGTATCATCTGCAAATAGTGATATTTTGACTTCTTTCTTTCTTATTTGTATCCCTTTGACTTCTTTTTGTTGTTTAATTGCTCTGGCTAGGACTTCCAGTACTATATTAAATAGGTAGGGGGAGTGGGCAGCCTTTTCTAGTCCCTGATCTTAGTGGGATTGATTCAAGTTTCTCCCCATTTAGTTTGATGTTGGCTACTTGTTTGCTGTAAATTGCTTTTACTATGCTTAGGTATGGGTATTGAATTCCTGATCTTTCCAAGACTTTTATCATGAAGGGATGTTGAATTTTGTCAAATGCTTTCTCAGCATCTAGTTAGATGATCATGTGTTTTTTTTTTTCCTTTGAGTTTCTTTATATAGTGGATTACATTGATGGATTTCCAAATTTAAATTTCTTGATTTAAAGAAATTGAATTAACATTAGGGATATCTAACCAGGATTATTCATCCAGAAAAGTTAGAGAGTTTAGAAGGTGTTAAAGAATGATGTGGTTTAAAATGCTCTAGGTATGTTCCGGTAGAACTTCGTCTGTGGTCAGAGGTCAATCTAATACTCAGCCTTCAGGGGTTGCTAACAGAAGGTCAGAGGTCACAGTTAGGAAACAGTTCACTGCAGAAGAATTCTGTTTATTAATATGTGAAGACTTTGTGATGGAGTGAGAAGATTATTATCTTCAAGTTTGGCAATACAACAAGCATTCTTTTGTAAGAAAATTGCTTATTATTTTAGCTGTGTTGTTTGTTTTCAGTATTTTAGTAGAGTTATTATTTTTATAACTCTAAAGTCACTTTTACACCACCAAATGTGAATTTATATTAATCCAAAATATCTGAGTAGTGGCCTAGTTTCTACAAAGTCCTGCAAACATTCCTCTCTAAGATGCTGCCTCATAGGTTATCCTATTAAAAGTCCATTTTAGTCAGTTACACATTTTACCTATTATACCTCATGTTATATCATTATATTGATGTTTTGGAAATGCTAAAACAATTATTTCAAAAGACAAAAGTTAGAGGTAACTGTTTAAAAACAATCAGATTTCTCTCCTTCTTTGAATTTATAATTATCTAGAATGTTAGGGTGGTCAAAAGATATACAGTACCATACTGAAACTCCTGCTTTCTAAATTTAGAAATATAATAGTTTAGAAAAGTCTCCCAGGAAAGGAACAATCATACCATTTATGGCTTTCATGGCGTTCAGTCATACATGTACTTGTTACTTCACCGGTAAAAAATGTTTTTTTCTAATCCAGTGTCTACAGAGAAGGACTTGGTTAAACTACATCCATCAAAACATGTAAAAATTCATCAACCTTGGGGAAAGACAGCTAGGAACAAGGGTGTTGATAAGGAGGAGTGGAGAGAGAAGAGAACTGGCAACAATCAGAACATATCATCTATGTATGAAATTAGAAAGCAGCAAATTTAATCCATAAAACTTACTAAAGAAAATGAATGAAAATTTTTTAAGGGGGCTGGGGAGCTACTTTGATTGAATGTACTTGCAATGGAGGCTAGAAGGCCCGGGTTCAGTTTCCAAAGCCTACACAAAAAATTATTCATGGAGTTATATAACTATGATTCTAATTTAAGTAGATGGGATTCAGACTGTTCAATACTTGAGACTCACTCAAGAGTCAGGCTTTTCTCCTGGGTGAATTCCAGGCTGGTGTGAGTCCTTGTTTGAAAAAATAAAAAAGTATAAAACTTGAGGAATTATACCCCATGTTGTCTTCTGGTTTCCTCATGTGCATATGCAAATATGAAGTCATTCTGCATAAACATGCACACATATGTGTATGCCCCCACACACAGACACACACACACACACACACACACACACTCAACCAAAGGTGGGGGAGGTGAAAGAATTTAGGAGAGAATAGAAAACTTACCTAGTAAGCCTAAAATGTCTGCTCTGAACGGGTTTGTTATAGACTCTAGAGTATTGAGATAAAAGACAGTAGGATTAGCTTTATAACTACTGAGGTTATGGAGCCGAAGACCTGAATGAGCATAGTCACTCATGTCTTTTACTTTCTGAGAAGTAAAGGCTCTCTGTCTTCTGCAAAATGTGAGTGAAACAAATGATCTTTTAAGTATGATTGTTTTTTAATTTTGGTAGACTTTGCTTTAAATATAAGACCTGATTTTTAAAGCTCATATAAAATTTATTTTATAAGTTACTTCTCTTGAGGATTTACAGTAGGATTTAAGAACATTGCTGCAAGTGGAATTTGGGATTAGAAGTCAAAAGTGTATACTTTGTAGTATACTGAACTTTGAATTCACTTCTTTCAGTTAGTGTTTTTTTTGCATATGTTTCTTCTCGTGTTTATCCAAATTACTTGGTCCTTGTGACCATAAGTTTACAAGTAAGAAATAGTAATCTAATACAGTATTATAAGCATGTTATTTCAGATGAGATAGTACAGGAATTCCAGTAGCTTTTTGTTAACAAATAGCCGATAAGTTGAGAAAAACCAGGAAGCTAATACACTACATCACTCAACATGAGGTATAAGTGAATTACTAGTTACTAGTTACATACTAGTTAGGTAGTGAGGAGTCTTAACTGTGCTAACCCATGCTTTATCTGACACCTTAGGAAGGCCAACAAGGTTCTGCCCTGGATTTCTATGCCATGAGCATCACTTGGACAGATAATATTCAACCAGAAAGGCAAAAGTAGGTCACTGTACTATGACTTTTGTCTACAGTACAGAATACACCTTGTGTAAAAGAATTCAAAGAGGACAAAGTGGTGAACTGGCCCAGGACATCCAGAGGCATGTCATTCCTGCATAGAGAACATATCAGGCTTGCTGCAGACACAGTGCCTTGGAGTAATTCTGAATTCTCTTCCTCCCCTTCCTTAATGGGACAGCACTTGTCCTGCAGATAACAGTACAGTGCAGAAGCCCATCAAAACCTGTGTCTTACATAGAACAACTCTATGTCTTTCTGTATGCATAAGGTACACTGAGAAAAGAGTAAAGCCATACCATTCAACAACACAACTGCTAACCAACTATTCAACCTGTATATCCAGAATGAGGACTGCACACCAGAGGGGGGGATTATACTTCAAACTTTCTTGATTGTTCAAGGGTTGTTTATGTTGGATACGGTCATCCATCTCATGATGCAGGCTGTTTTGCCAGTAGATGACAGATACATAATCAGAAATCAAAGTTTTCATTGTTTTCCTTAAACATTTTTCTTCTTAGATGTTTCTGATGGCATTAACATGTGCATATATCTCCAAATCATTCTCAGGAGCTTATGTGAGTTCTATGCTCATACAAATAGAAAGACAATTCGGTATCCCCACCTCTATAGTTGGACTCATCAATGGGAGCTTTGAGATAGGTGAGTTAAAATTTATATGTATTTACACACACACACACACACACACACACACACGTGTATATCTGTATATCTATATATCTCTCTATATATATCTCAAGAGAAAGATAGATAGATAGATAGATAGATATTTTGCTGTGAAGTAGCCACTTATGTAGGTATCCTCATAATGACACCTAATTAGTAGCACATGTACTGACATTGTCCCTTTTTATGATAAATGGAGGATAGAGCATTAACATTTTCTTCTGCCATTTGGTAAGCCAAAGAGATGGTAAAGACTTTTCTTTGGTATTTTAAATGGTTGAGCTAATATAGTGGTGGATTACCTTGGGATAAGAATCCAGGTCTGTTTTCTAGCTGTCAAACTACAGTTAGCTGAGCTGTTAATGTAGTCAGAAATCTGGGAAAAATAAATTATAATCTAGGTGTCATGTATTAACTAAAATTACTGAGGTTGGTTTATAGTACACTATGTAAACAGTTTCCATGTACTCGTGGTCTCCATCTTGGGCAGAGTCAGTCTGGCTGTCAAGCCCAGAATACTAAATGCTTTTTCTTATGGAGTAGGTACATGAGAGAAATGACTCACATTGACATAGGCAGTATGACACAGTTAACTCTCTGAGTATCGTCTGTTTGTCTTTAGTATAGGCCAAGCTCTAGCAGTGGGCTTAAACTTACTCTGTACCACAGGCTGACTTTCATCTTACATTCTTCCTCTTCTTTCCTTCTAGCAGCTGTGATGACAAGTATGTTCCTCCAGATCCCACTTGTTCTTTCAACTCTCAAACATTCTTATCAAGGACCTCACTGTCAACATAGTGCTTCCAAACAAGTTTTTTAAACCAAGCTTTCTCCTAAACCACAAAGAGGAATTTTTGTTTTGACCCTTTGACCAGTGCAATGGAGACCTAAGACCCTGTTGGTGCATTAGGACTCCAAACAGTATTATGTCATCTAAGGAAAGAAGTGACAACAGGAGCAGGCATCAAATTTGGCCATGTTCAACAACGAAGCTGGTTTTAAATTGCAAGCTAAAAACCATGAACCCATTTGAGTTTGCATAGTGCAGGCATGAGAGGAGTGGTTAGAAGTGAAATACAGATCTACACTAGCTTTTTTATACAATCCCAAGGGATGGATGCTCATGAATAGAGCTTTAGTATACTCCAGAAAGGAAGAGATCCTTTCATCAGGGTCACAATTGCTTTACATACTAAAACAATACACAAAATATCCTGACCCCATACTCCACGAACCCCCATCTCTGTTTTCTTAAGGTGGTTGTTAAACAATGAGCCCCAGAGTCTAAATGCTAGAGAGACTGTTGACTAAGAGCTGCTGATACTTTACTTCAACAAGCATTCTTATTTCTCTCTTTCAGGAAACCTTTTGTTGATTATATTCGTGAGTTATTTTGGAATGAAACTGCACAGACCTATTGTGATTGGTGTTGGATGTGCAATTATGGGTCTAGGGTGTTTCATAATATCACTACCTCATTTCCTCATGGGCAGGTGAGTATTCAAATTTTAGCTACAGGAAGTGAGACTCAGAATTTCCTTTCTGGGAGTAGGAAAGCTCTCCTAGCTCCATAGCCTGGATGACTATTTGAGTAAGACTTTTGCCACCTCAATCCATTGCCATTGATCAGGGTATTATGAAAAGATTCTGATACTTTCTTCACCTTGATATCTTTCTCTTGCCACTCTTCTTTTTTTTGCTATTTGAGCACTGGCATCTTAGATTTTATTTATATCTTGTGATTTTCCTACTTCTAACCTCTTGTCTTCTCATCTCCTTGATATTCCTGGGAAATTTAATTTTGTCACCCAACCTTTTGAATGAGATTGTAGTTCATATCATCATATTTAAAAATTCTTATTGTTAAGCATACTCTCTATCTAATATGTTTCTTCTGGAATATCTTGTATTTTCTCAAGAATTCAGTATGTTTTCTTTTGTGACTCCTCATTTGACTCCATTGTCTCTGGCTCCTTCACATGTAGGTTTTTATTCTTTGATTTATGATAATAGAGTATGCCTTATAATGGCCTTGGTTATTTATTCATATTTAAGAGTTTATATTTAAGAGGATATGGATGATGAACAAGTGATTGAATAGGGATTGGCTAATGATCGAGAAGGAATGCTTGATTTTGAGCTATTTTTGAAATGTGTGTAACTAACTTTCATCCTAGGCTGTCATCACTGCTCTTACTAAAGAGGTAAATATTTGGGTATGCCACAACAAAATGGGAATATAACCTTTTAGTATTCATAGTTTTTTTTTTTTTTTTAAAAAAATAATGACTTTTCTTTTCAGCTTCCGTGTCTCCCATGTATCTGTTTGGATCCTCCTCACCCTCAGCCATTTCCACTTGGAGAGATGAAGGGCAAGCCTAAGGATCTAGCTCCTCCTTATGTGCCCTTTAACCCCCACTTTAGACTTTGTTCTGTGTGGTCAGCTTAACCCTGCATTGGGAGTTTCTTCATGCAGCTTTCCAAGGGGGCCTGGAAGATACCCTGTTGTTGGTTATGTTTCCCTTCTACCTTCTGATTCATATATTCACAACACAATTTCAAAATTTTATGGACATTAAACTGACTATATATTCAATCTTTCATTTGCCTTTTTAAAATTTTATCTATTTTTTGTATATATTTGGTTGGTCAAGCTAGTGTGTCTCAGGCAAAACTCTCAGGAGTCAGTTCTCTCTGACTACTGTGTGACTTGGGATGGAAGCTTGAAACACAAGCATCTTTACTCATGGAGTCATCTGGTATTCAAGAGCCTATTTCTTCATGTTGTTCTTTCTTTGTTCTCTTTTCTCTCTCTTTCTTTCTCTCTCTTTCTTTCTCTCTCTTTCTCTCTCTCTCTTTCTCTCTCTCTCTTTCTTTCTCTCTCTCTCTCTTTCTTTCTTTCTTTCTTTCTTTCTTTCTTTCTTTCTTTCTTTCTTTCTTTCTTTCTTTCTTTCTTTCTTTCTTTTGAAGAAGAGCCTCATGTAGCTCATCCTGCCCTCAAACTCACTCTGTAATTAAGAATATTCATGAACTTATGATTCTCTTGTTTTTACAGCCTGACTGCTTGGATTAGAGGTATTTTCCACAATGTCTGGTTTTACTAAATGCTCAGGGTCAAACTAGGATTGTTGATTACTAGACCCTGAAGTACATCTCCATATGTAGATCTCTTTTTTCTGTGATGATATGGGCCTTCACTTTTTTTGTTTTTAAGCCAGTATTTTTCCCTTTTTAAATTTATTTTTCTCTCATCTGTTACACCTCGACTGCAGTTTTAGCTCCCTCCCCTCACCCAGGCATCCATCTCCACCCCTAGATCAACTCCCTCACTTTCCCTTAGAAAAGGGCCACTCTTGAAAGGACATTAACTAAATATAGCATAAGAAGCTACAATAAGAGCACGCACACATTCTCAACAGCAACCCAGAAAGAGGAAAGCAGTCCCAAAGGCAGGCAAAAGAGTCAGAGCAGCCTTTGCTCCTACTGTTAGGAATCTCATAAGAACACTAGGCTACACAACCATAAGATATATGCAGAAGTCCTAGGTTAGACACATTCAGGCTCTCTGATTTCTATGAGCCCATTTGAGTCCCAATCAGTTAACTCTGAGGACAGTGTTCTTGTGCTTTCCTTGAACCCTGATGGCTCTCAACCAATCATTCCTTCCGCTCCTCAGAAGGACTCCCTGAGATCTTATTATTTGGCTGTGAAACTCTGCATTTGCTACCATCAGTTGCTGGATGAAGTCACTTTGTTCTCTCTCATGATGAATATGCTAGGCTTGAGTCCCTGTATATATTACAGACATAGCAGATTGTAAGTTAGAGGAGCGGTGGCTGTGTTGGTGTTCCTATTCCTCCACTTAAGAATTTGTCAAGTTGAACACTACTTTTTACAGCCATTTTATTGTCAACTGGGAGAATAAATCGACCTTGAATGAACGACTGAATTTTAACTAGATATTACACCAAATGAAGCCTATTTTTATCTTCTTAAGTGTTTTTGAAGGAAACAGAAAGTCTGTGAATGGAATGGAACAAATCATCTGTCTGTCTGTCTGTCTGTCTGTCATCTATCTATCATCTATCTATCATCTATCTATCTATCTATCTATCATCATCTATCTATCTATAATCTATCTCTCTACCTCTACCTTCTATTTAATCTATCATCTATCAATCACCTATCTATCTATCTATCTATCTATCTATCTATCTATCTATCTATCATCTATCTATCTATCTATCTATCTATCATCTATCTATTTATCTATCATCTATCTATCTATCTATCTATCTATCTATCTATCTATCTATCTATGTATCTATCTCTCATCTATCTATCTTCTATCATCTACCACCTATCATCATCTATCTATCTATCATCTATCTATCTATCATCTATCTATCTTCTATCATCTACCACCTATCATCTTTTTAATTTTTTTACATTCTGTTCAAATCAGTGTCAAGAAATATTTGGCAATTATTGTGTTTTCCCATCTTCTGCCAAAAGAGATAATTCTTTGATGCTGACTTGTCCTCCCAATATCATGAGTAGAGAGACACAGAACCTTGTCCATATTTCATTGACCTCCATTTTGGGGACATCCAGAGAAGATTTCTAAGGAAAAGTTATTCTGAGTTCTTTGCTATATCATGCAGAATAGAAATTAGAATGTTGGCAAGTACAGTTCCCTATTATGAAGAGTTCAGCTGCCCAGGCTCAGGCTTTCCTCTGCTTGACATTCATCTAACAAAGGTGAGAAATACATCCAGCATATCCTCCAATGTAGAGACTTAGATGGATAATTTTTCTACTTCACTTGCATTTGGTCATTTTCTTTCTTGGACAACCTGTTCCTTAGTAAAGTGCTCAAGTGAAATTAATACAGTTTGCTAATACTTTTATTCCTATAACTCTGTGTAGTTACATGATAGCTTCTGTCAAATCTTGATATGGTATATACAGGTTTTCTTCTGTTGAAGTTACTGAACATATGAAAAATGATTGTTTGAATTCACAGAAAGGAAGGCTAGGGCTAAAGCTCAGAGAACCCAGAGAAGATATCTTTTTCTATGTTCTTTGTGTCTCTCTAAAGCTCTGTCTTCTTAGTTCTACATTACTGAGTTTTTCTTTTTGTTTTGACTTTGTTCTTTATGCTGCAACAATTATTTCTAGGAATTAGTTATTTAGAAGTCATCATGAGTCAGCACTAGAGAATCTAATAGTTTTGTCACCTATTTGTAGATACTTTAGAGCTAACTGTAAAGAAGTAACAAATTTTTGGTGATTATCAAGTTTTTTGATATTGATTACTTACATTTATTAATTCATATGTTTTGTTTTATTTTGTTCTGTTTTTTGACAAAGGATGTCATAAAGTTCATGCTGGCTTCTAGATTGCAGAATTAAGGGTGGCCTATGGCCTGATGTTCCTGTCCTCATTTCTTATGTGCTAGAGCAACTAGCCTGAGACACCACACTGTTTCATGCTGTTCTAGCATTTAAAACTAGAGCTGCATGTTCAGCTACATGTCACATGCCTACTGACACAGATTCTGGCTTATTTATTTATTTATTTATTTATTATTTATTTATCTGTCTGTATATGTACACGTGCATCTCAGAGGACAACTTTATGCAGTCATTTGTCTCCTTCCACTTCCATGGGGGTCCCAGGGATTGATCTCATGCCATTTGGCTTGTGCAGTAAGTCCTTTCCTGCTACATTATCTCTCTGGTCTTTCCATAGGATTCATGATAATTAGACTGAGTTTTGTGGAAAATTCTTTCCTGGATCTGTATACCCTATTTTAGGGAAGCATTAGTCAGTAATCTGCAGATGCTTTCCTTGCACTCAACTCCTCACAGTGAATGTTTCCTGTGTCCACACAGATACGAATATGAAACAACAATTTCACCTACAAGCAACTTGTCCTCAAACAGCTTCTTGTGTATGGAAAACAGATCCCAGACCTTGAAGCCAACGCAAGACCCAGCAGGTTGACTCTGGCTTCTCATTGCTTTCTGCTCAGACACGTGGCCAAAGAATGCTCTTTTATGAAGGGCTTTAATAGGACACTAGGTTTAGTAGACATGTAAGACAAATGAACACAATTTATTTCCCTTTTCAGAGAAAAGGGATGTCTAATTACCGAGAATATTCTTCCTCATGAGTTTGAATATACTTATTAGAATCTTTTGTTTCTTAACCAACATTGTATAGTTTGTCCCACAAGTGAAAAAGACTTAGAAGGATTGATTTACACCAAGGCTGAGACCTATGTAGCTGGTCTTGTTTGGTTTTCTATTGCTGTAATGAAACATTAACTTGAAAAAATATTTACAGAAAAATTTGAATTAACTGTCAGTAATACTTGGTTGTCAAATACTCAATAAGCTTTTTATTCTTTTAATCCAGAGTGTATGAGAGAAATGAAATCATTAATGTGGATATATGTACTGGTAGGAAATATTATACGTGGAATTGGTGAAACTCCGATCATACCCTTGGGCATTTCCTACATAGAAGACTTTGCCAAATCTGAAAACTCTCCTTTATACATTGGTAAGTTTCAAAATCAGAGTAGAAATCAGTTATTGATTTGAGTGCTTTATGTGTTCCAGAACAGTGAGCAGAGTGCTGTGGCACAGTTGGTTATAAGATTGCTCAAACAATTGGAGATTCTTTCTCAATGTTTAAAGAGACCAATGTACGTATGTATAACATGCTTATGCATATGTATTGTATATGTCTCATGAATACCAAGTTTATTATTTTACATTTTGAATATATAAAAATACCCGAGGTAGGGTGGTATGTAGCTAAATGGTAGGGTACTTTCATAGTCTCTTGGATTTGATACCCAGCTTTGTAAGTGAAGGAAATGTAATTGAGGCTTAAAATAGTTTCACATCAAGGCCATGATTTGTGTTTATGTGTGCAAGCAAAAATTCTTTGTGTGGTTATTTAATGTCCTGTTTTTGTTTACTTCCAGGGATTTTAGAAACAGGAAGGATGATTGGCCCAATGATTGGACTTTTTTTTGGATCTTTCTGTGCAAGCATTTATGTAGACACAGGGTCTGTGAATACAGGTGACACAATGCATTTTGTCTATACAATCCAGTCCCTAGAGTATGGGAGAATGCTTGGGAGTGCAATACTACTGCTGATTTTGATCCTCAGTTCGGTTAATTATCACCACATACTTATGACCGATCTAAGAGAGGCAGGGATAAGGGCAATGACCTCATTCTGATGAAAGATATTTCATTCTCTCATTATATTTCAGATGCATCTTTTGTTCCAAAAGATTTACTCACACAGGTTTTATTCAATGAAGCAGTCACTGTGAATCATACAACAGACCTTTTTGTTATGTGATAAGCACCAAATTATAAAGGTTGCGTATGATAGACAGAAGTATTGATTTAGTGCTCTCAACTATATCAGCACACAGTGCTATTTAGAGTTAGAGTTTTTAAAACTAAATACACAAAATGTAAAAATTAACTGGATACATGCATTTCATTTCTTATCTTTATTAATGTATATGTGTCTCTGTGTGTGGATGGATTAGATGATTCACTGTGTATGTTTGTGTGTACTTGCTGAGGTCAGAAGAGGATATCAGGTCTCCTGAAGTCAGAGTAACTGGCAGTAGTGAATTTCCATTTGGGTTCTGAGAATAAAATTCATGACTTCTGCAAGAGCAACAAAGCCACTAAACTGTCTCAGCATCCCCCTTCCACACCTACTGTGATGTTTTGACACATGACTATATCAGAGTCAAGCTATTCCTTATGTATGTCTCAAATAAATATTGTTTCAGTCTTTTTGAAATTTAGGTTTCAGTAATACCCACTGTAGTGCTCTGGAACCTTTTCTTCTTATTTAATTTTAACTTCGCCCTATTTATTAACCTCAGACACTTTTTCTAACAGTCTGAATTAGCCAACCAAGGTGGTAGATGTCATTACTCTCAGAATTTTGTTATCAGAAGCTCAAGTTCCAAAAAGGAACAAGAACAAATTATGAATAGTTTAAAATGATTATGAATGCCAATAATTTTCTTCAGTTTACACAGGAAAGAATGATGTAAGCTAATGCAATATCTGTATTTCTTTACAGATGATTTGACCATAACTCCCAAAGATACACGCTGGGTCGGTGCTTGGTGGATTGGCTTTTTGGTCTGTGCAGGCGTGAATATCCTGACCAGCATCCCGTTTTTCTTCTTTCCAAAAGCACTCCCAAAGGAAGGATTTCAGAATAATGTGGATGTAACTGAAAATGTCAGAGATAAGAAGTTAGAAAAGGCCAAGGAGGAAAACCGAGGAATCACTAAAGGCAAACATGAAAACTAAACTCTTTGGTTTAGATGGGTCTGTGATTTGTAGGCAACTTGTCACTTGTATTGAGATAAGACACTTTGTCATTAATCTTCACTCTTAAGATGTGTTGAATGTCTTCAAAATTCACCACTTTGAAACAACTAACATGATAGGGAACCTGATTTAACCTTGGATTAGACTTTATAAAAATTTCAAGTCAGTCTGAAAGCTCAATGAGCAAATATTGTTCTTATCTGTTTTGGCAATCCTATTTTACAGAAAATATTAGTCTAAGTTAAAAAAAAACATGAGTAGTCAGAAATTTAAGATGATAAAGATAAAGATAAAAATCTGTTTGATAAGAAAATGTTTAGCTGTGAGCACCCTTGAAGTCAAGGGTAAAGAGAAAACATGATAGCTGACATAATCCTCTATATTTGAAGGTGTGTGGTAGTTTACAGGACAATTGTTCCCTTAGGACAGACTGTTTTACATCAAGCAGGAATGTTTCTAAGCATCAATGCAGAGTAGAGATGCTTCTGTGAGAAGCTACAGTGGGACAAGGAAGTGTTCAACAGTGCACATTTTTAAAACTTGGCACTGCTCTCACAGTTGTGTGTGTTGATACCTATGTAGTGTTCTCCAGAGATCAGAGAAAGTGCATGAGGGGTGTGGCTTGGGCTCTGGAATTCTGAAAGTGTATAGTTGGAAGATAGGAGGGACCAGTGCTTTACCTATCAAATGAGGGTAAGAGTGTGTTATATTCTTGGGTGACTGTGATGTTCTTTACTGACAACTATGGGGAGCACCTTACTGATGATATTGCCATTTCCTCTATCACTCATATTCTTCAACACCAATGTTCACTGATTAGTCACACATCTGACTTAAACACTAGAGACCATGACAGAGCAGCCAAGCCATACTGGAAGAGAGGGCAGTGGCTTGAAACTTCTTAGAATCATGATCGTGTGAACAATTCTCCTGAAAGGGGGAATACTGACTCTACTGTGTGACTGTGATCTACCAGATCAACCTAAAGCATATAGCAGAGAATAAGACATAAAGAAAATAACTGTGCTCCTTGGAGATTCATTTAAGGCAAGATGTCAACAAGCATGAGTGGACTGAAGCTCTCAGGAATACTGATTAAACCATGTCACTCATGATGATGTGTTTTGTCAACAGAGTCAGAGTTTTTCATTAACTTTTTTCTTCCTCTACTTCCAAATGGTGTCTTCTTGATATTTTTCTCTCAATAAAATGTTAAACAATTTATTAAGGCAAATGTAAAATTAGAAAATCAATACAGAAGACATGAATAGGAAAGAGAGTGTTAAGAGTGAATTTCAGCCAAATTCTCTTGAGTAACATCCAATCCTTTTAGCAGAGACAGGCTACAAACTGGACATAGTTTTTAAAAACAGGGAAAAGCTTTGGTTAAGTTGCTTAGAATGTTCTCGGTATTCACTAACTGAGTCATCGGGATTCCTTACAGTGAAACCGTCCTGTTCAGATGATTATGGTTATCACTAGGTGCTTCTAATGTATGCCCTGCTGTGAAGTTCTGCTGAGATGCTGAGGATGTCTCGGCTATTTCATGATAACTGTTTTCAGTTCATTCATTTTTGCATAAAGGAGTGATAGCGTCAGTTTCTGAAATCAAACTTCATCAAATTGAGTCCTTCGTAATTATCAAAGAACAGAGTAGGCACTCTGTAGAAGATGCTGAATATTAAAGGAAATGAAGGCGTATGGCCACAGACTTGAATCCATGTCCTCATAGTTTTGCTTGGTGGAACAATTGCTTTCTGGTTCCTGTGTTTTTTTTTTTAATTAATCATTGCATTTGTTTTGAATTAATCATTGTATGTGTTTATATAACAAATGTTATCTGTTTCCTGGATTCCCCTTCACGAACCCCCACCCAATCTCAGTCCCCTTTACCTCTAAGAGGGTGTTTCCCCACCCACTCATCCCCTCATGCCTCACTCCTAGAATTCCTCTTCTCTGGGGCATCAAGTCTTCACAGGACCAAGGGCCTCCCCTCCCACTGATGTCAGATAAGTCCATCCTCTGCTACATATGTAGCTGGAGCCACAGACTGGCCCATGCATACTCTTTGGTTGGTGCTTTAGTCTCTGGGAGCTCTGAAAAGTCTGTTTTTTTGATACTGTTTTTCTTGTGGGTTGCAGTCTCCTTCAGCCCCTTCAGCCCTTCCCCTAACTCTTCCATTTGGATCCCTGGGTTCAGTTCAATGGTTATCTGTGTGTATCTGCATCTGTCTTAGTCAGGTTCTGGCAGAGCCTCTCAGAGGACAGTCATACCATACTCTTGTCTAAAAGCACAGTTTTGCATCAGCAGTAGTGTTAGGGTTTTGTGTCTGCATATGAAATGGATCTCAGGGTAGGTTGGTCTCTGGATGGCCTTTCCTTCAACCTCTGCCCCAGTTTTGTCCCTGCATTTCCTTCAGACAGGGACAATTTTAGGTTAAAAATTTTGAGATAGATGGTTGGCCCCATCTCTCAACTTGGCTATCTATTGGAGGTGATCTCTTCAGGTATGTCTCCCTGCTCTTTTATGAGTTTTGGTTAATGTCATCCGGACTGGGTCCTGGGAGCCTCGGTATCACTGGTGTCTGGGACTTTCTAGTGGTTCCCCAAGATCCCCCTTCTCCATTGCTACATATTTCTATTCATTCTCCTGACCCTGTGGACTTGTCTCCTGTCTTTTTCCATACCTGATTCTGCCCTACTTTTCTCTTCCCCTTCCCCTCACCTACTCAGGTCCCTACCACCCTCTGCCTCCTGTGATTATTTTGTTTCCCCTTCTAATTGGGTTAAAAGCATCTACATTTTGGCCTTCCTTCTTGTTATGTTTCATATGGATTGTGAGTTGGTTGATGGTTATGTAGAGCTTTTGGGCTAATATCCACTTATCAGTAAATATATACCATGTATTTTCTTTTGGGTCTGGGTTACCTCACTCAGGCTGATATTTTCTAGTTCCATCCATTTGCCTACAAAGTTTGTGAAGTCATCCTTTTTAATAGTTGAATAGTAGTCTCCTGTATAATTGTACCACATTTTCTGTATCCATTCTTCTGCTGAGGGACATCTGGGTTGGTTCCAACTCCTGGCTAGTATAAATAAGGTTGATATGAACATAATGGGACACATGTCCATGTAATATGTTGGAGCATCTTTGGGTTTATTCTCAGAAGTGGTGGAGCTGTGTCTTCAGGCACAACTATTTTCAATTTTCTAAAGAATCTCCAGATTGATTTCCAAGTTGTCTGTACAAGTTTGCAAACCCACCAGGAACAGAGGAGAGTTCCTCTTTCTCTATGCCCTCTCCAGAATTTGATGTTGCTTGAGTTTTAGATCTTAGCCATTCTGATTGGTGTAAGGTGGAATCTTAGGCTCATGTTGATTTTAATTTCTATGTTGATAAAGAGTGTTGCTTTAGGTGCTTCTTGGCCATTCAAGATTATGGGGATTGCATTGAATCTGTAGATTGCTTTTGTTAAGATGACCATTTCTACTATGTTAATCATACTGATCCATGAGCATGGGAGATCTTCCTATTTTCTGAGGTGTTCTTCTGTTTATTTCTTCAGAGACTTGAATCTCTTGTCATAGAGATGTTTCACTTGCTTGCTTAGAATTATACCAAGATATTTTATATATTTGTGCCTATTGTGAAGGGTATTGTGTCACTAATTTCTTTCTCAGCCCATTATCCTTTGTATAGAGGAAGGCTACTGATTTGCTTGAGGTAATTTTACATGTAACCAATTTGCTGAAATTGTTTATTACTTGTCAGAGTTCTCTGGTAGAATTTTTTTGTCAGTTTTGTAAACTATCATATTGTCTGCCAATAGTGATACCTTGACTTCTTCCTTTCTGATTGTATCCCTGTGCCCTCCTGTTGCTGTATAATTGCTCTAGGCAGAATGCTGAGTACTATATTGAATAAATAGGGAGAGAGTGAGGAGCCTTGTCATGTTTCTGATTTTAGTTGGATTGGCTGTTGGTTTACTGTACAGTGATTTCTTTACATTTAATAGTGTGCCTGAATTCCTGATCTCTCTAAGACTTTTAAAATGACATTTGTATTTTGTCAAAGGTTTTTTACCACCTAATGAGAAGCTCATGTGATTTCTTTCTTTGTGTTTGTTTATGTACTGGAATATGTTGATAGGTTTAGGTATACTGGACCATTCCCATTCCTGCATTCCTTGGCGAAGTTTACTTGATTGTGGTGAATGATCATTTGGATGTGTTCTTGGATTTGGTTTGCAAGAATTTTATTGATTATTTTTGCATTGATATTCATAAACAAAATTGGTCTTAAGTTCTCTTTCTTTGTTGGGTCTTTGTTTGGTTTAGGTATCAGAGTAACTGTGGCTTCCTAGAATGAATCACGTAGTGTTTCTTCTCTTTGTATTTTGAAGAAAATTTTGAGGAGTATTGGTTTTAACTCTTCTTTAGAGATCAGGTTGAATTCTGTCTTAAAACCAACTGACTTTGTGCTTTTATTTTGGTTGGGAGACTTTTCATGACTGCTTCCATTTTCTCAGGGGTTATGGGATTGTTAAGACAATTTATCTGGTCCTGATTTAGCTTTAGTATCTATATCTGTCTAGAGAACCATCCATTTCATCTAGATTTTCCAGTTTTGTTGAGTATAGGCTTTTGAAATAAGACCTGATGAATTTTTTTGAATTTCCTCAATTTCTGTTGTTATGTCTCCTTTTAATTTCTAATTTCATTAGTTAGGATATGGTCTCTGTACCTGTTAGTTAGTTTGTCTAAGGGTTTATCAATCTTATTGATTTCCTCAAAGAACCAGTTCTTAGTTTTGTTGACTGTGTATACTTCTCTTTGTTTCTACCTGGTTGATTTCAGCTGTGAGTTTGATTCTTTCCTGCCATGTACTCCTCTTGGGAATGTTTGCTTCTTTTTCTTCTAGAGTTTTCAGGTGTTAAGTTTCTAGTGTAGGATTGCTCCAATTTTTTATGAAGGTACTCAGTGCTATGAATTTTCCTCTTTGTGATGTTTTCATTGTGTCCCAGAAGTTTGGGTATGCTGTGCCTCATTTTCATTAAATTCCAAAAAGTCTTTAATTTCTTCCCTGAAGAAATTAAAGTTATCGTTGAGTACAGAGTTGTTCAGCTTCCATATATATGTGAGCTTTCTGTTGTTTTTGTTGTTACTGGAGTGTATCCTTAGTGCATGATGATCTGACAGAATGCATGGGCTTATTGCAATCCCCTTGTATATGTTAAGGCTTGTTTTTGTTTCTGATTATGTGGTCAGTTTTGGAGAAGGTACCATGAGGTGCTGAGAAGAAGGTATACACTTGTTTTAGGGTGAAATATTCTACAAATATCTGTTAAATTCATTTGGTTCATAAGTTCTGTTAGTTTCACTGTGTCTGTTTAGTTTCTGTTTCCACGATGTGTCCATTGGTGAGAGTAGGGTGTTGAAATCTCCTACTATTATTGTGTCATTATCAACATGTACTTTAAAGTTTAGAAACATTTCTTTAACAAATGTGGGTGCCCTTGCAATTGGGACATAGATGTTTATAATTGAGAGTTCATCTTGGTGGATTTTGATGAGTCTGAAGTGTCCTTCCTTATCTCTTTTGATAACTTTTGTTTGAAAATCTATTCATTGAATATTAGAATGGCTACTCCAGCTTGTTTCTTGGGACCATTTGCTTGTAAATATTTTTTTCAGCCTTTTAGTCTGAAATAGTGTCTGTTTTTGTCAGTGATGTGTGTTTCCTGTTTACAACAAAGTGCTGAGTCCTGTTTATGTATCCAGACTGTTAGTCTATGTTCTTTTTATTGGGGAATTGATACCATTGATGTTGACAGATATTAAAGACCAATGATTGTTGGTTTCCATTATTTTTGTTATTAGTGGTGGTATTGTGTTTGTGTGGTTCTCTTCCTTTGGGTTTGTTGTGAGATGATTAATTTCTCGTTTTTTTCTTGAGAGTTTTCCCCTCTTGTGTTGAATGAAGTTTTCCTTCTAGTATCCTCTGTAGGCTGGATTATTGTAAAGGTACTGTTTAAATTTATTTTTGTCATAGAATATCTTGGTTTCTTCATCTATGTTGATTGATAGTTTTGCTGGGTTTAGTGGCTTGGGCTGGCAATTGTGTTCTCTTAGGGTCTGTATTACATCTTTTCAAGATCTTCTGGTTTTTAGACTCTCTCTATACAACTCTGGTATAATTCTGATAGGTCTGCCTTTATACTTTACTTGGCATTTTCCTATTACTGTTTTTTAGTATTCTTTATGTTATTCCTTTGTGTTTACTGTTTTGATTATTATGTGATGGGAGAAATTTATTTTTTGGTCCAATGTATTGGATGTGCTTCTTGTACATTTATGACCATTTCTTTTTTTGTTGTTGTTTTTCTTTCTATTTTGCATATATTAGCTCTCTATAACAATGGCCTTCATTATAACATTATTTTTTTTAAATTTTTTCTCAAAGCATAATTAATTCACACAGGGCTTATAAAGGCAGGATGTGGAGAAGGGAATGACACTGGAGTGTAGGTGTTCAGGGGGAATACAGATATCTTCAGAACCGGGTATCGGCTAGGTGAAGGTTCAGGGGACAATTCACTATGACTCTGCTTGTGACTGGCTTGTTTTTATCTAAGTTGGTATTGTCTGCCAAGGCTACCTATTTACAAGGTCTATGACTACTCAGGCTTATAAATTTCCACAAAAGCTGCCTGTTTACAATAGCTTATAGCCATCTGTTTCAATGTTTTTCTACTGAGACCCAAGACTTGGAGTTAGTATACATGTATGACAGGCCTATTGCTGATTTTAGGCCTATGGCTGATTTTAGGCCTACAGTGTGTAAGCAGGGCTGCCCCTGACATCTCCTCCCTTCTCTAAGTATAGAAGGGCTGTGGCAATTCTAAACTTGTGAAGGCGGGGATAAAGGCCTGACCTCTACTAATTGAAGGGGACCTTGTAATGGCTCCGGTCCCCCTGTCGTTGTCCAGTGAGGCACGAGGGCCATACTTGTCCCTATGTCTTTTTCCTAGAGAGGGATACTTTTGACATCAACCCCTATGCGGTCAGGCTTGTCCCTCAGGGTACCCGGAGAGATACTTTTTAACTTTTACTTATATTCCCTTGCAGTGCTTAGCCTTGCAGCCTAAGCAAGAATTCAGATCGCCTGTCAGAGGGGGTTCTGGGTGGCCCCTCTCTGTTTGGTCTAGGGGCAGAAGTCCCCCCTTTTAGGTTGGGTGGAGATGGGTTTTGGAAACACCCTGTATAAAGAAACAACCTCATCTTGAGTCTCGTGGTCCTCCATAGCTATCTTATGATAATGTATCTGAGTAGGTTTTGCTACCAAATTATTTATCTGTTATATCACAGAGTTAGTGCGCCTATTTGAGGGCCAGGGACCAGCAGAAAAAAGCAGAAAGAACCCAAATAATGGTCCCAAGATGGAAGGAAATAGGGTTGACAACCTTGGAGAGGGTGCAAACCAATTCTTGTACCGGCATTCATCAGTCTCTTTCTCTCTCTGATTTTTCTTAGGGACTTCACTACCTATTTCATGCTCTCTTTAACCCTCCTTGTCTTGTCTATGCAAAGGCAACCTTCTTCTTTGAGGGTTGTACACAGTCAAGAGCTGTATACAGCCTTTTCTATTGTACTAGAGTAAATCGAGTCCCATAAGGATCTTTGCGATTTTAGGAGGTCTCTTCAGACAGCGAAATGAGGGATTTCTCCAGATTAGTGATGTCAATCTCTAGCTGTTTGATGTTCTTGTCAGTGGTCCTTCAAAGGTCTGAGTAGTATAAGTTCTGAGGCCAGTATCTGGATTAGAACTTCTAACAGCAGACATCACGGGTGATTCATTTTTACCTGGAAAGGAAAAAGAAGGGGATTCTCAGGAAGATTTCTCTTCCCTGGATGTAAATTGTTATTCATCATTTCTTTCCTTAGGTTGAAGAAGTTTTCTTCTATTGTTTTTTTTTTTAAATGTTTTCTGGCCCTTTGCATTGGGAATCTCTTCTCTTTTTTATTCCTATTATGCTTAGTTTGGTCTTTTCATTGTTCAGGAAATTTTCATTCACCAAGGAATTCATTTTCCTGAATTTCTTGGATGTTTTGACTTAAGAGTTTTGTGAACTTTGTATTTTCTTTTACTGTTGTGTTAATATCTTCTGTGGTATTGTCCACACCGGAGGTTCTCTCTTCTGTCTCTTATATTCTGCTGGTGATGCTTGCATCTGTAACTTTTGATCCCTTTCCTATGTTTTCTGTCTCCAGGCATGCCTCCCTTTGTTATTTCTTCATTGCTTTTATTTCCATTTTAGATCCTGGACTGCGTTTTTTAATGCCTTCACCTATTTGATTGTGTTTTCCTCTATTTATTTAAGGAATTTATGTGTTTCCTCTTTAAGGACTTCTATCTGTTTATCTATGTTCTTGTGTATTTCTTTAAAAGAGTTATTTATGTCCTTCTTGAGGTCCTCTATTATCTTCATGAGATGGGATTTTAGGTCAGAATATTGCTTTTCACGTGTGTTAGGATATCCAAGGCTCGCTGTGTCGGTCGAACTGGGGTCTAATGATGTTTAATGGCATTGATTTTTGTTGTTTATATTCTTGCACTTGCTTCTGTCCATCTGATTATCTCAGATGTTAACTGGCCTTGATGTCTCTGTCTGGAGCCTGCCCTGCCTGTGAGCCTGATTATGATGGACAGCCTTGGTCAGGTTGTCTTTGCAATCATATTTATGATGATCCTCCTGGGAGTTGACTTTTCTCTTGATGTGGTTGTTGGTGTATGAGAGTGCTGGAGCACCTGATCTGCTTCTGGGTGAATTTGTGGACCTGTGGACCAGAAAGTTGATATTTCTCTTGCAGGGCAAATAGGGTCCATCTCTTCTCAGCGCAGTGGGAATCCCAGTTAGGCCAGGTATTGGGATTGGGCATGTTTCACCTGTGAGACTGTTTGTGATAGACCTCACTGTTTGTGATAGAGTCAGTTTTTCTCTAAGTGTGGAAGGTTGTCTGGAGGGCTGGCTCTGCCCTGTGCCAGTTTGTGAGTTGGAAGTAAACTCTAGTTCTTATATAACCAATTTTGTCACTAACTTGCAAGTGATTTAGGGATGTTACAGAACTTTAACTCCAAAGGTGTAAAGATTTATCACATGCATTTGTGTTGCAATACAGAATCTTTGAGATTTTAAGGAGCATACCGGACACAAATGGTACTGCCAAGATAGCTCAATGATCTCTATACTCTCTTGTTTCAGATTTCTTTCCATTCATGAAGAGCCTCTGCAGCAACCCAATTTATATGTTATTCATCCTTATAAGTGTGCTCCAGGTCAATTCATTTAACATTTCATTTAACTTCTTTCCTAAGTACGTGGAACAAGTATATGGAAAATCCAATGCAGAAACCATCTTCCTCATAGGTATGTACTTTCATTATTTCCTTTATAGCACTTTCCTCTTCCATTATAGCATGGAAAAAACTATACAAAGAGCATGATAAACAGGAAAATAATGTGGCTAGGAGATTACAATGAAATGCCATCTCTTAGGATATCCTGGTACATGTCTTCTTGCCAGGCTCCATGAAAATCAAGAAATAATAGGGAAATAACATGGGTAAAAAGAAACTTTTCTGATATTTCTTCAGTCAAAATGGGAAATCATAGTTATGGCAATGTTGGAGGAAGCTTGTATCAGTCAATTATCAGATACCAATATATTAATTCAAAGAGCAATACAGAGTTAACTCACTGAGAGTCTGTGTCTTACCTCCACATTTTTCAACTGGGCTCCAATTCTTGACCTCCACATTCCTCCTAGTTCAGTCCTTTGGTCCCTTTGTGGTATGAGAATTATGTGCAGACACACTCTGCATTTCTTTTAGTACATTGAAGCCAAGGGTCCTTCTTTACTGTTGAAAACTTAAGATCAAAGGCTGCCTGCATCCATGTTGTCTAGAATTTCTGAAAATACAAATATCAGTCGTCACCCTCAGATCTGATTAAATGATGGGAAGCTCAAAAGGATGGTTACATTATTCTAAGCTTTATGCTGGTGTTGTGTGAACGCAACTTTGCTGGAATTTTCTTTTCCCTTCTTTTATTCCTTGAAGTTTGGCTTTGGAAGGAGAGTCAAGGGGAAGAATGCTGGGCAATATCAACTATGCACAAAATGTATTACACTTGAAAAGCATAGACTCACTTGCAACTTTCAAAGCCATCTGAAAGTAAATTAAATTCCCAATAGACAAAGTGGAAAGAAATATGTGAAACATTTAATATCATATATGAAGCTCATAAGTTGCTTATTACCTGCTGCCAATGATTATATAAATGCTAACTGTCTTTTAAAATTGAAGTTTTGAAGGATTTGAGAAAACCTTTGTGCAATATTTGAGTGAGTGGGGATTAGGTTTGCTGCATACTAGAATAGAATGAAATAGCTTCTTAAGTAACATATATTAGAAAAAATTATAACTAAGCAATGGTGAGTCAGGAACTTAAGTCCAATACAACTTCCCAGTCACCATTGTGAAGGCACTCAGTAAGTTCACAGGTCAGCATCATTCTTTGTCTTGGCATTGGAATGTCTCACTCACTCATCACTCTGGCCAATCCATGAGCATGGGAGATCTTCTTCTGTTTCTTTCTTCAGGGTCTTGAAGTTCTTGTCATACAACTCTGTCACTTGCTTGGTTAGACTCACACCGAGGTATTTTATATTTTTTTATGACTATTGTGAAGAGTGTTGTTTTCCTAAGTTCTTTCTCAGCCTGCTTTTCCTTTAAGTCGAGGAAGGTTACTGATTTGTTTGAGCTAATTTTTTATCCAGCCACTTTGCTCAAGTTGTTTATCAGGGTTAGGAGTTCTCTGGTGGAAGTTTTGGGGTCACTTAAGTATGCTATCATATCATCTCCAAATAGTGAGATTTTGACTTGTTCCTTTCCAATTTTTACCCCTTTCATCCCCCTTTGTTGTCTAATTGCTCTGTCTAGGACTTTGAGTACTATATTGAATGAATAGGAAGAGAGAGGGCAGCATTGTCTAGTCCCTGATTTTAGTGGGATTCTTTCAAGTTTCTCTCCATTTAGTTTGCTGTTGGCTACTGGTTTGCTGTATGGTGCTTTTACTATGTTTAGGTATGGGCCTTGGATTCCTGTTCTTTCAAAGACTCTAACCATGAATGGGTGTTCAACTTTGTCAAATGCTTTCTCAGCATCTAGTGAGATGAATTTTTTTTTTTTTGGTTTGAGTTTGTTTATAGAGTGGATTACATTGATGGATTTCCTTATATTGAACCATCCCTACATTCCTGGGATAAAGCCTACTTGATCATGTTGCATGACTGTTTTAATGGGTTCTTGGATTTGGTTTGCAAAAATTTTATTGAGAATATTTGCATGGATATTCATAAGGGAGATTGTACCTAAGTTCTCTTTCATTGTTGGGTCTTTTTGAGATTTAGGTATGGGCATAATGGTGGCTTCATAAAATGAATTGGGTAGTGTTCCTTCTGTTTCTATCTTGTGGAATAGTTTATAGAGAATTGATATTAGGTCTTCTTGGAAGGTCTGATAGAATTCTGCACTAAAACCATCTAGTCCTGGGCTTTTTTTTGGTAGGGAAACTTTTAATGACCGCTACTATTTCTTTAGTGGTTATAAGACTATTTAGATGGTTTATTTGCTCCTGCTTTAACTTCGGTGTCTGGTATCTGTCTAGAAAATTATCCATTTCATCCAGCACTTCCAGTTTTGTTGAGTATAGGCATTTGTAGTAGGATCTGATGATTGTTTTTTTTTAAATTTTCTTAGTTTCTGTTGTTATGTCTCCCTTTTCAGTTCTGATTTTATTAATTTGGATATTGTCTATGTGCCCTCTCATTAGTCTGGCTAAGAGTTTATCTATCTTGTTGATTTTCTCAAAGAACCAGCTCTTGATTTTGTTGATTCTCTGTATAGTTCTTTTTGTTTCTACTTGGTTGATTTCAGCCCTGAGTTTGATTATTTCCTGCCATGTACTTCTCTTGGGGGCATTTGCTTATTTTTGTTCTATAGCTTTCAGGTGTGTTTTCAAGCTGCTAGTATGTTCTCTCTCCAGTTTCATTTTGTAGGCACTTAGAGCTATGAATTTTCCTCTTAGCACTGCTTTCATTGTGTCCCACAAATTTCGGTATGTGTTCTAATTTTCATTAAATTCTAAAAAATCTTTAATTTCTTTCTTTACTTCTTCCCTGACCAAGTTATCAATGAGTAGATCATTGTTCAGTTTCCATGTGTATATGGGATTTCCATTGATTTTATCATTATTGAAGGCCAGCTTTAGCTTGTGGTGATCTGATAGGATGCATGAGATTATTTCAATCTTCTTGTATCTGTTGAGATCTGTTTTGTTACTAATTGCATGGTCAATTTTGGAGAAGGTACCATGAGATGCTGAGAAGAAGGTATATCCTTTTGTTTTGGATGAAATGTTTTTTTTTTTAATTATCTGCTAAATCCATTTGGTGTATAATTTCTCTTAGTTTTCCTATGTCTCTGTTTAGTTTCTATTTCCATGATCTGTCCATTGATGAGAGTGTGTTGTTGGAGTCTCCCACTATTATTATGTGAGGTACAATGTGTGCTTTGAGCTTTAGTAAAGTTTCTTTTATGAATGTGGGTGCCCTTGTATCTGCTACATAGATGTTCAGAATTAATAATTCATTGCTTTACTTATACCCTTGATGGGACAAGCTGTCTTGCCACAAGTTTTTACACCTTGTGGAACAGAGACTCAAGAGAGAAGTTATAATGCCTCTTGCATTGTTATTAAATGTGACCAGTTATTCAGACTCAATCATGGACTGTTCTAGAAATCAATCCAATATTGGAAATAACAGTCTTTCTTTGGCTGTCTGTTTCTGGAAATTTTCAGAGACATATATGGATATTAGCTGCAGTTCTCTATGATGTTATGTTAGCAAGAGATAAAGATGGTTCAAGATCTGGATTTCAAACAGGTGTTAGCACATATGTTAATGCTCTTTTAATTGTCAAGTTAAAAATACTTTTGTTTCTTCTACAGTATTTAATGTAAGTTGCATTGACTGTACACCTTCTAATTGTGTTTGTATTTTGAAATAGTGTTATGGAGGTTTATCAACCAGGTTTTGTTTTAGTACACTTAGTACCACAGAACCATGGTATTCTAAAAGTAGCTTGCAAATACTGGAAGAAATGAGTCAAGGCTTTATCAGAAGCAAGAGGGTATTGGGCTTGATTATTTCTGGTATAACAGCTTTAATTACATTAATTGCTAGTGCCACCGATTCTTCAATTGCTGTGACATAAGAAGTTAAGACAGCTCCTTTTATTAATCATTTAGCAAAAAAAAAATGTTACTAATGTGTTGAATATATGAGAGGATTTCGATAGGTATTTGGAAGAAAGGATTGATGCTCTTTATCCTATTCAAATTACTGGAAGGAGACTCAGATTTTAAGGATAAGGAGGCATCTTGAGTGTCATGCCAAATACCATTGGATTTATGTTAGTTCTACAATTTACAATGGCATTCATTATAATTAGGAAGAATTTTAATGACATGTGTAGTATATTTTACATAATTCTAATACCTCTCAGAATGTTTTAACCATACATAGGAAGCTTATAAATTTCAAGAATGGTGCTCTGATGAGCGTTAATGTGGTAGATACTGTAGATAAAATTACCTATGGCCTGAGGTCACTATTTCTATTTTGGTCAAGCTTCAAATATACCATATATAGTTTGATCATACTAGCTCTTTTATGTCCTGGAAATACTTTTATTCCTGCCCATTGTACTAAAGCTTTTCTTCCACATCATCACCATGTTGGCAGCAAAGTACATGGCTTGGGCCTGAAAATGGACCCCCAGACAGAGTTATTAAATTAATAGGCTGGCAAACCAATGATGGGTAAGATTCTGCATAGAGCCTTACCAACCTAAGAAGTAGTGCATTACATTTGATAATGCGTATTCCATGATGGGTAAGGAGAGCATTCTGGTCACAATGACCCAAAACTGGCTTAGTCTTGTTAATGAAGTTAGAAATGGGGAGAGGCAGAGAGCCTTTAGTGCTGCTTGGCACAAATATGACATGGGCCAAGGACAAGGAAATGGTCTGTTTGGCAGGAATATGACATTGGCCAAGTAAAAGGAAGTAGGTTTCAGGCAGGAATCGGACATTAGTCTAGAATAAAAAGTAATTTCAGGTAGAAATCTAAATCTTAGGCTAGAACGAAGAAGTAATATTAGGCAGGAACCTACATATTAGGATAGAATAAAGAAGTAATTTCAGACAGGAATCTAAATTTTAGGCTTGAACAAACAAGTAGGCTTCAGACATGAAAATTACCTTGGGCTAAGATAGGGAAGTAAGCTTACATACTTTGGACATCCTGACAAGTGCTTAGAAACAGTGATCACAGGTGTACTCATCTAATTGGTTTAATGCCTTGTTTTTCTTTGACTATTTGTGCTTATTGTATTGCTTGGATCTTGACTATTTTTCTCTATTGTATTGCTATATTCTCAACCTATAACTGACCTTAATACATGCATGTAATCAAAATGATATAAAAGCATAATAGAGGAGGGGGTATGGGATAGGGTGTTCTAGGGAGGGGAAGTCGGGAAAGGGGGTGACATCTGCATTGTAAATAAATAAAATATTCAAAATAAATTCATAAAAACAAAAATTATAACATTTGTTCTGCTGTCTTTATAAATACAAACTTTCTTTCATTTATAGGTCTTTGTACGTTACCTATATTATGCGTTGGTTATTTAACTGGTGGCTTCATTATGAAGAAATTCAAGATCACTGTCAAGAAAGCTGCATACCTAGCATTCTGCCTATCTTTGTGTGAATACATTCTTAATTTTGGTTACTTTCTGTTTACCTGTGATAATGTACCAGTTGCTGGCTTAACTATCTCTTATGAAAGGTATGCTGTTTTTTAAAATAAAGATCATGACCTTTTCAATATTTCTAGTTAATTTTCCTCAAGTATTATGAATGATCAGATCATTTTATTATGAATTAATGGCAGTGATCCATGGCTAGGTTATATTTTTCTCTGATCCATCAATCCTATACCATCCCACACTATGTGTAAGCTTATTAAAAGAGGACTGGGTACTACCCATGGTCAGGCTTTGATTCCACATACTGTAAAGTTTGTCATGGTGATATCTTAGTCAGCTTTAAATTGCAATAAAGGAATGTAACCTGGAGCTTTTAGATTAAATAATCCAGGTATTTTATACTCCAACTGTGAGATAGGTTTAAAAGTTGACTATACAGGTTTTTACAATGGGCTCAAATTTAACATAATCAAATTTAATACATGGTAAGTCAATTAATGTTTCTATTTTTATATGTCACTGGTAAAATTATATCTCATATACTCTGTGGTCTTATATTTTGTATTTTAGGTGTTTCTGGTCATATTACGTATTAGATAGGGAATTTAAAACTCAGTTACATAATTAATCAGTTAAAATTAAACAATGCATATACTCATAGACTTTTTTCAGAGGTCTGAGGAGATAATTCAGTAAGAAAATGCTGGCTGAGCAGGCAGCAAATTTTGAGTTCAGATGCCTAGAAGTCAGGGAAAGCTTAGCATTGTTGGGTATCTCTAACTCCATTCTTAATACTGTGTGTTAACCAGCATAGTCAGGAAACACTGAAAGTTAATGGGCAGGCTACTTAGGCTTTGCAGCAGTAAAAAACAAGACTCTGTCTCAAACAAAGTGAAAAATTATTACTAACGTCTACATGCAAGCTGTTTTACATATGGACATACACACACATCTGAGAAAGACAGAGACAGGGAGACATAAAGAGAGAGACATAGCCATAGTGATGTTAAAAATAATATTTCTATCAAAACCCTCAAGAATTATGATTTAAATAATTTCAAACATAAAACTCTAAGAGATTATATAGGTCTAATTTGAATTACGTCACCACTGAAACAGATAATTGTTTTTGAATATCATAGTATAGAGATGACATGTTGAAATTTGTATGATCAAATCCCTCTCTCTCTCTCTCTCTCTCTCTCTAACTCTCTCCCTCTCCCTCTCTCCTCTCTCTCACTCTCTTTTCTATCTCTCTCTCAGTGTGTGTGTGTGCATGTGTTGAGATGAGGAGAAGAAAATAAAATGCTTGTTTAGGCTTTTAGTATCTATAACATATTTTAAATTATTTCAGAGTTCAGAATCATCTATATGTGGAAAATAATGTCCTTGCTGACTGCAACACTGGGTGTAACTGCGTAACAAATACATGGGATCCAGTGTGTGGAGACAATGGTCTAGCATACATGACACCCTGCCTTGCAGGCTGTGAGGAGTCTGTTGGAACTGGAGCCAACATGGTAAATATCGTTTCAGTATGTGGGATGATATTTGGTGTACTGCATTAAGATTAACAGTGTTATGACCTAAGCCTTCATCTGCTAAAAAAGAACAAAGTAGACCTTGCTTAAAGTAGATTAATATGTTTAATAAATTGATAGTAGGTTAATGGTTGTAAAAACAACTCAGTTTATTCAGTATACATATACTTGACTAACAACTCCTAGATGTTATGCAAAACCTTGACAGAGTCTGAGTATTATTTTGTAATTGCAAAGCAGTAGTCATCATTAGTCAAACAACTTGACTTAAAATGCTCTGGTCAGGTTGGAGAGAGAGCTCAGTTTTACAGAGCCCTTGCTACTCTTTCAGAAGACATGCTTAGTACCCAGAACTCACATGACCATTGCTAGACCATCTGACACTCTTCTCTGCCTGCCTCAGACACCCACTTGCACTTGTTTGTATACAAATGTATATGTAAGCATACACATAAATCAACATTAAAATTAAAACATTAAACTACTTTGGGTAGAATCTGCTCTTTGTTGTGATAGGTTTTCAGGTTGAGAGAGATATTTAAAATGGTGGCACCTATTCTGGTTTGTAGTTATAGTGCTGTTGTGTTCATAACTAGCCAAGGCCACCAGGGGTGGCAGATTCGCTGCTCAGCTTAGGCTGCCTGCTCAGTAGGTCAGAGACACTGGCCCTTCCATCTACAAGATGCCAGCATGGGGGGATGGCTCTGCCACTCTTCAGTGCTGTCTGTCTACTCAAGGATGGGCTGTACCCAGACTATCCTGCCATCCATGTTGTCCTGGTAGGAATGATACTCTAATGTTTAGATTATCCAAAGGCTTTATATGTTTGGTAATGCTTATTAACAAGATGCCCACACAATCAGAGGTTTAACCCAAAACCCGACCTAGATGTATCAACTACCTGTGACTGCTAGAGACATGTGAACATCTGCAGCCATGTTCCTCTCACTCTTGTCCTTTCTCCCTCTCTCCTCCTCTTCCTCCCCTAACTCTTACTCTCACATCCTTACTCCTCTTCTTCCTCTCCTTACTCCTCCCAACTTAGCTCCTCCCAACTTTTGGGGAAAAATGATGCTACGTATCATCCTTTCTGTCAAAAAAAAAAAAAAAAAACCAAAACTTTCTCTCAAAACACAATTAGAGCACTATTGTGTCAATAAGGTACAAGATATACCTAATACCAGTCCATCATTTTTGTCAACTAAATGAAACCTATGTCACCTCTCCTAATTAAGACTTAGTTCTGAACGTGGCTTATGTCTTGGTTTTAGAATGAATGCAATCAGAAAAGTAAATAGCCTGGATTGGCTATGAGACTATAAGTCTTCAACCCCATCAGAAATCAAGAATGACTGAATTAACTAAAGATATGGGAAACATAAAACATGGCTTCTAAAACTTAGACAATTTATATAGACTGCTGATTACCTGGATAGCGCCTTACTTCACAACACTGGAGAATCTGGTCTTCAGCCTTCTGGCCCAGCATCATCTGACAGACCTAGTAGTGCAGAGTTTTAAAGCCTGAACTCTCTGTTTTGACAGAAATAATCAGTCGACTATTCCATAAGTGTGTCCCTTTTCTGGACAATATGTTGTCTGTAGAAGAAAATAGGCAATTTTTGCCTAGTGGCTGTCTCACCACAACTGGAGTAACTCCAAAGATGCTCAATTTCTTCTTAGAATCTAAGACAGGGAAGCTGCCAGGAACAGCAAAATGAACATTTATACAGAAATGTTTGTAACATCAATTCTGTGGACTTCTGACAGTTTTGAAAACCAGCTCTCTACGTAAAACAATCTGGACTGTTATCCATTAACTCCTCTCAGCTATTTCTAATTAAAATATTGAAAACACCCTAACAGTGAACTCAGAGCCATGAATTTGCTATAGTCTCTTAACTCACAGGCCAACCATCTTAGATTATTTCAAAAAAATTAAAGAAGGACTGAGACTAAGCCTTGTACCCACCAATCTTGACTTAATAGAAGAAAATATATCAATGAAAACCTAGAATTTGAAATCAAAATAAATTTTCTACCATTTAGGAAATTATAACATTGGCTTAATAAATATTATACAGATTTCTACTAATAGGTTATAGCTATGTAATCAATTCTAGCTATTCCTGCCTGTTCCTATCTATAAAACCATTAACTTTCCCTAGAAGGACAGCCTAAGATTAACCACTTCAGTCACCAAGCCCAAGGAATTGGGGCACTGACTCTTTATTAATTTATTCAAACTGATTATGGGCATTGAGATATTAGAAAAGAGGCAGTGGGAGTTGTAAATTGATAATCCTCTGACGTCTGTGTCTTCACTGCATCCAGCTGAAATTCCAGGACATGAGAGGTTCAAGCAGGTCTGCTCAGCTTGCTTGATGAGTAGATACACCAAGGCTGTGTATTCTGCAATATAAAATTCTCAAAACAAATTTTAGTATCAAAATAATTTTTTGTTTGAATTGTAGCCTGCCTCTGTCATGTTTAATCCATATAATTCTGGGAGGTAGAAATATCTTAATCATGTCTTCTGAAAACACACAGATGAAACCTTTTTCCCAAACAGCATGTCCCAGAGCCAGTAACAAGAAGATACATTAATCATCTCTTCTGAAAATACACACACAAAAACTTTTTTCCAAAACAGCATGTCCTTGAGCCAATAATCAGAAAAGTCTTTATCTTGACCACTTTCCCAGAGGAAACATATGACCATGAAGCTGAAAATCACACCCATCCTGAAAATAAAATCAATTTGTTAACTAAAATACTGTATGTGCCTATTATTAGGCCTTCCTTATTTTGCCAAGCAGGAAATAAACCCAGAATTTCTTTGGGGCCCACGTCAGACAGAACCTGAGTCTCCTGTGAGGCAATATAACTTTATGTCATCAGAATACATCTGATTTACACTATCTTTCTTTTTGGCCCTCTTTCTAGAACAGCTTTTTATTTTTGCCATGTATCTTTTTGGCTCTGTACTCCAGAGTAGCTTCCACTTATACACTGTACTCTTTATTATAGAGTCAGTGACAATTTTCCCTATCTTAGTTCCAAATCGCAGGTGATGTTCCCATGTGATTCAGATAAATCTGTTTGTAAATCTTTCCTAAAAGCAAATAATCCCTATATAGCAACTTTATACTTAAATCAGTAACTGCTCCACAACGGAGGCTTATTTATTTAGATCTCTTGGCTAAAATGTATACCTGTTGGTCTGTGGTTCTGTGACTAGAGCCAAAGACAAGTTTTCTCTACCTATCTTTGTTCTGAACTGCAGGCAAGATTCACCATGTGAATTGGACAAAACTGATTCTAAATCTATCTTTAAAACAAATAATCTCAATTTAAATTCACAGTTAAAATCTCTTTACTCTAGAAGTAAGCTACTTCCTTTCTTAACAAAAAGCATCCTGCATTTCCCTACAGCAGGGAGCTCAACTGCAGTTTTTGTTCTGTGTTCCTGTGCTAGAAGTCATGTGACTTATCTCAGTGCTTAACCACTCACTTTCTTTTAAAAAACCAAAAATACAACTTTTAATCTCTGGAGAAATAGACTTAAATTTCTAGTGAATTCGTGCCAGACATTGGGCGCCACTTTGTTGAAAGGGATATTTAAAATGGCAACATCCATTCTGGCTTGTAGTTATGGAACTGACATGTTCCCAACTAGCCTAGACCTGATGCCATGAGCAGCAGCGGCCTCATTGCTCAGCTCAGGCCATCCACTCAGGAGGCCAGAGACACAGGCCTTTCCACCCACAAGACATCAACGCGGGAGATGGCTCTGCCCATTTTCCATGTTGACTCCACAAGGTTGGCCTGTTTCCAGACCATCCCACCATCCATGCAGGCCCAGTAGGAATACGACTCTAAAGCTTAGATTATCCAAAGGATTTGTATGTAGGTAATGCTCTATAACAAGATGCCCACACAATCAGACGTGTAACCAAATACCCAACCTAGATATACCAACTACTTTGACTGCTAGAGACATGCGAACATTCGGAGTCATGTTCCTCTCACTCTTGTCCTCTCTTACTTTTCTGTCCTCCTCTTCTTCCTTCTTTTCCTCTCCTTACCCCTTCTCTTCCTTTCCTTACTCCTACCACTTAGCTCCTTGAAACCTGCAGGGAAATTTGTGCTGCTACAGTCTCATGTAGTTGAGATGGACAAAACCCTATGATTCTGGATAAAAACTGCTCTTTGTTATGATAAGGTCTCATCTAGTTGAGGTGGACAAAACCTTAGCTATTTGTATCACAAACTTCTTTCAATTATTTATTTATCTGTTTTCTTATTTATTTAATTATTGTCTCTGTATGTATGTATGTATGTATGTATGTATGTATGTATGTATGTATGTAGTGTGTATGTGTGTCTGTGTGTGTATTTGTTTGTGTGTGCAGGTAACTGTGCATATAGAGGCCAGAAGGCAACCTCAGGTGTTGGCTTTCAGGACCATGCATCTTGTTCTTCTGACACAGATTCTTCCTAGCCTGGAATTTGCTAATTCTTTTAGGCTACCTGGCAATTGAGCCTCAGGGTGTCACCTGTTCCCACCTTGAGATCCTGTGTTTCAAACACATCCTCTTGCATGCACCTTCCACGTGTGTGCTGCTGGGACGAGAACTCAGGTTCTCATGCTTGTGTAGGTCATCATTGACTATTCCACCTCCCCAGGCCCTTATCATGACAGTTTAGCATCATAGACTGTTCCACATTTTTCTTATCTCAAACATATTATAATCCTGAGAGTTGATTGGTAGTCAAAGTGAAATATAAATTTTGATTCTAAATCAGACCTAGAAAAAAATAACTATTCAGAAAATATGTAGAATATAAATTTTCATTCTAAATCAGACCTGGGAACATAATTTATTTATTAAAATTTGTATTTATTTATAAATGTATAAAACTATAAAAATTTATCTTTAAGTAAACTCTTTCCTTGGGGACAGGACATTAGTAGTAAGCATCTAACGATTCCATTAACATTTCGAAATATATTTTGTTTTAGCTCTTAGTACTAGCATCAAAACAAACCAAAGTCATATTTATTTTTGTGTAATATTTATTATGTGTAGACTATAAAGTTGGCTGAATAGGGAAAGGCATTGTCCACCAGCCATTTACAGTAGAATTATACTCTGGGACCCTCATGGTAACTAACTCTCATAACTTATTTCCTGAATTCTACATGGAATCCATGGCACATTTCAGTCCACACTTAGAAACATGAATGCACTTACATGCACGCATACACACACACACACACACACACACACACACACACACACATACACACATAATCGTATACAAGAAATGCCAAACAAGCAAATAGGTATCAGAAGCAAAATAAAATATGCATTTAGAATAATCGAAATTTTGCAAATTTATTTGATGAAGTTGAAAAAAATGGTACCAATAAAATATAATCTCTTCATGTTTTATGGTAGAGTTCTGATGTACCAAAGAAACATGCATTTTACTTATTTAGTGATTTTTATTCAATGGTGTTTGTGGCCCAACTCAGGTCTTCCTTAGCTAAAGTGAGTGGTCTTTCTCTGAGTCATATCATTGATTTAACTCTCCCCATTTTGTTCCACCTAGCTGTGCAGAAAGTACTGAAAGTTCAAACTAATATGCTTCTTCTTTAATAGGACACCTTTTTTTGACAGGTGTTTCAGAATTGCCACTGCATTCGGTCATCAGGAAACTCATCTGCAGTCCTTGGGCTGTGCAAGAAAGGGCCTGACTGTGTTAAAAAGCTGCAGAATTTATTAATCATTACAGTATTTCTCAGTGTCTTCTACTCACTCTCAGCCATCCCTGGATACATGGTTTTTCTGAGGTAATAAGTAACTCCTTCATTTAATTTCCCCTCTTTCTTTCTTAGTAGTGTGAGTGCAGGCTCTTATGTGCTGTGAGATCCTAGGTGCCCCCCCAAAAAACAGGATGCCAGAAAACAATGTTGAGGAACCCGCTCTCTTCTTTCATCTTCTATTTTAGGTAGATGTGTTGTGTTGGAATGTGAGAGTAGTTGCCTAGCGCTCACTTCCTATGTCTCAGCTAATAGACTGGCAGAGAGTGAAACTCTGTGCAAACTGGACTAGGGTCCCTTGACATGCTGAGCCCAATCTGTCTTAAACAAAAAGTGAATGCAATACTAGACACTGTCTAACAAGGTGCTACATGAGTGCAATGATTGACTCTCACATAAACTGAGGTAGCTGCAGAGTCAAGTTCCAAAGTTTATTTTCTTAGCAGGTGTTCTTTCCAGTCTAGCAAACTTCAGACCAACCCACTAACAATGGGAAAGAGTTTGAACTCCTAGTCTTGTATCATTGGAATTCAGAAGCATTATTGAGCTAACCATGATGTGTAATTCATTACACTGAGGCAGGGGCCCTTTTGTGTGTCTCAGCAGTTTCTACCACCTGCCCTTGAGCCAGCAGCTCACAGGCCCCATTCAAGTTTGTGGTGGCCAGCCTGGCTGCACAGCTGGGGCTCTATTCTTTCTCCATTAATTATTTTATTTATTCACTTTCCCCTATAACCTGCCCCCTTTCCTCACAATTCCCTCCCTCACATGGCCCCTCCTCTGACCACACTCCCTCCTTCTCCTTTGAGACTGAGGTAAATCAAGATAGCCCAGTTAAAGTAGCAGGATTCACAGGCTGGCAAGGGAGTCAGGGTAAGCCCTTGATCCAGTTGTAGGGTGACCTACAGGGAGACCAAGCTCTTCATCTGCTACATATAGGGTAGTGCCTATGTTGAGCCCTTGTATGCACTTTGGTTGGTGGTTCAGTCAATGGGAACTCCCAAGGGTACAGGCTATCCGATTCTGTTGGTCTTCTTATAGAGTCACTATCTTTTCCAGATTCCTCAATCCTTCCAACAACTACCAGCCCTGTCTTTGCATGGGTGAGCTTCAGGTGTGGGAAACAGATCCAACCATGATATGAGTCTCTGGAGATCTACTCACACATCAGGGGCTGTGCCTCCTGTCTAAGTGCCAGTGTCACTGCCACAAAGCAGCTTGTGGCTGATAAGAAAATATTTTTCCCCCTGCCTACCACCGGGGACTATTTTGCCTAATACCTGTCTCTAGTGTCCTAAGCTTGGATTTCTTGCTACCATATTGGATGTCAAATATTGCTGGACTTTCTGAACTTTCCAGCAGTTAAATAATGACACAGAGACTTATTAAATTTTATTATATCTTAGGTTTTTAGCTGGGGATACTACACAGCTGGTTCATCTAACTTAATCTTATTATGCAAGTTCATGGCCCTGCAGATGGTTACTTCTTTACCTCATTCTTAGTCCCAGTATTTGGCACCATTTCTGGATCCCACTGACAAATTGTCTCTTCTCTGATCTTCTCCCAGAGACAGTGTTTCAGCCCAAGGTCCCACCTCCCATTTCCTGCTTAGCTATTGGCAGTTAGTTCTTTATTAAAGCCAATACCTGCCCTTGAGCCAGAGAAAGCCTTAGGCAGGCGAGGAAGGACAGAGATACACCTTCACACTGTGTACCCCAACACTTTTACTATCATATTCAATTGCATGATGTTGTATTGGAGATGTGGTATATGCCTTGTTTCAGTTCATCATTCACAAAAATACAAAGGCACAAAGTACTGCTAGTTATTAAGACTTATTCTTGCAAGTGAGAGACATTCGTCTGTGACAACTGTAACCTCATCACCTGCCATGCAGATTCAGCTGATGTGGTTAAGTGGTGTCTCCTTTCTCCCTCAAAGATCCAGGTGGCACAGTTTCCAAGCTGCATGCTCAGTTGATAAGGACTTTTTCTCATAGAGGGGAATGGTCACAGTTTAAGCATATGTCCAGCTTAACTCTCCTGTTAGACCCTCTAAGCATGCCCTCACAAGATGCTCTGATATTAACTGCACACCTATTCTTGTTTCCATCTTTTACTCACTTTCTTAACTACCGTAGTTTCATGAAAATTGACAGTTCTACTAGGTGAAAAAAAAAAAAGAAAAGAAAGAAAGAAAAACCTCACGGTTCATTGATGTTTTAATGTATGATTATTTGGAACATTTTGTGCGTACATGAGTTTGTGTGTGGATGTGTTTATGTGTGTGTATTCTATGGCATCCACTTTGAAATGAGAGGAGAGCTCACATGAGCTGGTTCTGTATCCACTATGTACATTCCAGGTGTTGAAATTAGTGTGTCAGTCAGTTAGTTAGCAACTTTATCAACTGAGACTTCTCATAGTCCGTAATGTGTGATTGCTTGATGTAATCAGGTTAAGGTATATTCGAGAATTTTTTTTTATTTCTTTCCTCTTTCTTTTGCATTTGAAGATTGCAATATAAATGATGAATAATTCAGTGCTACTGTTGGAATACTACCATTATTCCTCCAGACTCTTGTGTTTTCTTTAACACTTTTATCCAATCACTTCCAAAATGAAATCCTAACAGTTGCTTATATTATGCTTTTCTTACACAATGGAGTGTTTGGTGAGAATACACCACACATTAAAAGGTTGTCTGTATTTCTAAAGATATTTTTTATTATTTTCCTGACTTGTTTGTAGGCCTTTTTAAATGTAATTATCAAAATCATTTCAGAAGAGACAAGTGTCTACAGTTACTAATTCCATATAACCCAGTAATTTTCTTAATGTAATAGCTTACATGATGGATTTTTTTCTCTGCTTATTGGTTGAACTGCATTTGCAGTATCATAAATATTTATATGACATGTACTAGCTTTTTAAAATCAGCATGACAAAATGCTTGCAAACAAGTTAAGGGAAGAATGATTTAACTGGTTTGTGGTTTCAAAGGTTTGGATCCTTTATGGTCAGTACAGCATGGTGGTTACCAAGGAATCCAAAAAACTATTCAGCTTGGTTAGCAGACAATCTCTAACTGTTAAAGGGCTCAGTTATGCTTTAGATGTGTGGAGGTCAGAGGACAGCTTTCAGAAGTCCTTATTCTCGTCTTCTGTGTGGACTTGACAGAGGTAAGTATGTATTATTCTTACTTCAGGATGAAAAGTTTAACCAATAGCATCATAGACTTCCATGATCATTGAAAGGATGCTAAGCCAGATGTAGGTTGGCACGATGAACTGCATGTATGTGTGTATTTTTCAGGTGTATCAAGTCTGAAGAAAAGTCACTTGGAGTTGGATTACATGCATTTTGCATAAGAGTATTTGGTATGAAGAATTTCCCAACGTATTAGATCTATATTAAGTGCTTAGTATACAAATTGCTTTTCTCTGAATAAGAAGATAGCAAGTATCTTATCAACCCAAAATAAAACTCTCACCATAAATGGAATAAGGTTTTATTCTGGAAGTGACCATAACATGGGAACACAAATTCACACCTTTCAAACATAATGTTACAATATGAGGACAGTTTTATAATGTTTATACTTAGAGAATGAAAGTATCCAGGGACTAGGTTCTTCTCAAGTATATGAGTGGGAAAGTCAGGAAGGATGGTTACAGCAAAGCAAATAGTTCTGTGCTGTAGGCTCAGATGCTATCTGATGAAATTCTTAGTGTTTGTGTTAGGAAAGTCGAAGCTAGAGACCTCTTAAGTCAATGATATCACTAAAGGATTCATGCAATAGTCATATGGATATACGATCAGACACAGGGATGGGACAATGAATAATCAATAAGAAGGTAAAGATAATCTGTCTCAGGATCAGCAATATCCAAAACATCAACATTCAAAAATTTTCATGCCCTTGTAGCATCATTAACATGGATGTTCTCTGCCCACTTCACCTGACCTTCAGTGTACAAGCCTTTGTGTTTGGAACTGACTACCTTTAATTAGTCTGAGAATGAAGTAACTGTAGAGACGAAAGGTGTTTCCACATGTCTTTAAAGATCTTACCTAAATTTAATTACACTTTTCATCTTTTGGTAGATTTACAAAATTAGAAATTGAAGTATTTCCAAATACAATTACACACCTCTCTTTTTGTTTTTGTCCTATCAGAGGGATAGAGTTTTTGTTGTTGGTTCAATTGTGATTGTTGTTGATTTGTTTTTGTTTTTCCTTTCTTTTCATTGCAGCTGGCATTCCTGCACCTATTTACTTTGGGGCTTTGATAGACAGAACCTGTTTACATTGGGGATCTCAGAAATGTGGAGATCCGGGGTCATGCAGGATGTATGATGTAAATAGCTTCAGGTAAATATAATTTCGAGACTTGCTTTTGTAGCATGAAATTCTTATATGGATGTCTTGGGTAATAAGAATATATACGGCTTCATTTTCAGAACACTATATTGTATAACTTCCTCACTTATGTATTTTAATATTTTCTCATTATTTCTAAAGTGTATATATGCCTGAGTGGCTTTCCTAAAAACCCTTCAACATATTTCAGAAAGCAAGCAGGTATCTGCATAGAGGCCCTGGAGTAGCAGAGAAGAGCTGCATCTTGAGCTGAACTAGCATGGCTGAAGTCTAAAGATAAACAAGACAGCAAGATTCAAAGTCCTGGCACAAGGGTGCTGTAGTGGGGAACAAAATCTCTCAATTCTTTCTACCTTTCTGCAGAGGTTTCCCACCCTCAGAGGTAGGGATGACAGAGTTCCAGCACATCCAGGCAGCATGGATTCTGGCATTATAGCTCCAGGAAAGTTGACAACCCTCTCGTGCTTGCATCCTGACTCATTGAGAACCTCAAATCTGTGTAGTAGCATGCAGTTTACCAAAATGTGCCTGATGATGTAGCCAGTGACTATCTTGAAATGGGACCTGGTGTCTACATTTCACTGTTGGTCAAATCTCTGGGAAACCCAGAGATGCCCCACTGGACTTAGTGGTTAGCAGCTTCATTAACATAACTTGGCTCAGTAAAGTGATTATGCTACAAGCCTGTTGAGAGTGTCACAAGTGGGATGACGTGATAATGGGAGCCATTTCCCTCAAGAACCAGGAAACTCACCCTCTGAGATCAGGGTATATCCAGTTTTATCCTGTAATTTTATGTGTGTAGTAAATGCTGCTGCTTGGAATAAAAGCAGTTACTTACATGGTTCCCACCACTCTCAGTTCAGGGAGTTGCCACTAACACTCTAGTCAAAGAACTGTGGGTTCCTTGCTGCCCAACCACCAGTGGCCTTCCTGGGTTTATCTTGAACCAGGACTCTGGCTGTTACCTAGTCTTGCCCTTTAACCCAGGGAGAAATCTTGTTTACTGCAGACTACATTGCTTTTTCTTCAGTGTTTATTGTTAGGGGTGGCTAAAATCCCATTCCATGACTGGTATACCCACAGTAACAGTGTGAAAGGACAGAATTACTCTTGTCTGCATATCTGTGTGTGTCAAAGTTCTAGTGGTCTTGACATCCACAGGATGGTGGACTGTATCCCAGATTTGTGAGCAAACTAACTCTTCTTCCTTACCTTGATTTTGTCAAAATCTTTTATAACAGTGGCTAGAAAATAAACCAAGATATTTGTTAATCTTTTATCCACTTAGAAAAAAAGCTTCAATCATATGTCCACACTGTTATGTCTGAAATTCAAGCATCTATAGTCATATACTGTACTTATACTTTCCCTCTGTAGAAATAGCTGTGATCATTTTCTCTATTCCTTTTGTTTCCTTGTTTTTTATTTTGTTTTTCAGAACAGGGCTTCTCTGTGTATAGGCTCAGCTGTCCTGCAACTCACTTTATAGTGCACATTTGCCTTGAACTCACAGAGATATGTCTTTCTGCCTCTGCCTCCCAAGTGCTGGGATTAAGGGGGAGGACCACAAAGCCCTGGCTTCATTTCTCTATTTTAATGTGCTGAGGGCTGGACCCAGTGGGTCTTCTTTCTTCTTGATTCCTCTTGAGGCAGCAGAGGGAGAAGTGTGAAGGCAGGGATAAGACTTGGTTTTATGAGATATTTAGGGTTGCTATAAAAACAAAACAAAACAAAGCAAAGCAAAACAAACATTTAAATATCTTAAGTCTGAGTTTCTTTGCTATAATAGCTGATTTGACTGTCTTAGTTCCTTTGAGGCCAGAAGCTGCCGTTTCTGGCATTTGTACCTCATCAGGGGATTTATTAATGGATTAATTGCTAGAGACTTTTCCGTCTCTTCCAGATGTCTCTTGCTTGTTAGGCTAGGGGGAAGGTTGGAGCAATAAACTTCTATTAATAAACCAGAAGAGAGTCACACTTACAGAAGGAAAAAACTTTTACACAATCAAGTGTGGGTTGAACTCATATAAGTTCAGATACAGATTCAAGCATATACAATCTTATGTCTCCATTCAAATCAGTTGGGCCCAGCTTTTAGACTGTTTCATAATTATATACTTACACCCACATATCCATATTTATATTTGTAAGTACACAAGAGCAAAAGACCAAGCACCAGTGCAGAACGAACTCATTCTGGATGAAAAATGAGCTCCAATCTTTATTGCACAGGGAAAGAAGGAGATCCTATCTTTTGATGCAAAATGAATTAAAACCAAGTCTGAAAGAACAAAGCTTTGTTCTCTTTAGTAAGACTAAGACTACCTTGTTATTTAAAAAAAGATCTATCTTGTTCCATGCTAAGGAGAAGCCAGCAAGCTCCTTTTGCTCAGTCTGCAGCTTCTTTTTTCCTCTTTCTCTTTGCATTCTGCATATTGCTCACTTAATTTTTAATGTTGCCTTATAATTTCTAAATTATTCCACTCTGCATTTCCTTCTAATTTTTCTCCCTCCTTCTGCTGTGATGTAAAAGTGCTCTTACTCCCAATCCGTTCTTTCCTAAGTTCTTCTTGAGTTCTGTTCTATCTAAAAAAGTTTTCTTTAATTCTGTCTCCTGTTTGATCTCCGCAGTTATGCATCTTTCAGAATACATGATCACATGGTAAAAAGCTCATCCTAAGTTTACATATAAATTCAAATCATAAATTGAACAAGAAATTAACAACAGCATGCATATCCATGAAGAGTAATTATCTGGCTAAACATTCATCACCTGTCACCAGATCTGCAGGTTCGTGGTGAATTAAAAACCATATTTGTAACCAAGGTATTAGTGATGTTTTGTATAGATAAACCCAGTCAATATTTTATTTTTGGTCATTTTTCCCCTGACATTTTTCTTCAAAGCATAAATGATCTTTAATAATATATAAATTACATGTCTTAAACACATTAAGATCTAATACAGATTAGTTCTTTTCAATAGGCACATTTTCCTTTGGTTGAATGCAGCACTGAGAGGAGCAAGCTATCTCCCTTCATTCTTCATTCTAATACTTCTCAGAAAATTCCAATTCCCTGGGGACACGGACTCTTCAGAAACTGAACTTGCAGAGATGAAGCTCACGGAGAAGGAAAACGAGTGCACAGATGTGCACGGAAGTCCTAAGGTCGAGAATATTAGAGAACTGAAAACTAAGCTGTAATGAGTTTTCTACTGACCTGTGCTAGGCCATGAACAGAATGTACACTTGACTAGTTTTGAATCATGAGACTTACAATAAGAATACTTATCTTTAAGAACCTCAACAATTATTCTTACTCATGATAAAAATAATTATTGATAACATTTTCAGGAGTTTGGTATAGGAGATAAGATTTTCCTAGGACAGACTTCTATAGAGACCCTACACTGAACATTATTGAGTCCTTCATTTGAAAATAGTATTTTCTATTATATCAAGGGAAGTATTTGTTTCCTATATACCTTCAAATGGGTTTAAAATCTAGTCCTTAAACACTATTTAAGTATGTTGAATTTATTCTTTGATGATGGGAATATTTAGAGCTGAAAATATGCATTGTGGTTGTTCCACATAGAAATAATTATTCTTTCTATGCACAAGATGTGTGTATATGTCTGTATCTAGGAACTATTAACTCTTTTTTTGTTGTTATTTTAGTCATGATACTTCTGAGATTAGACTTCTTCCTCCTGTGTCATCTCCTGTTTGTAGTTACTTCTTTCTTTACTCGTGTCACATATTTGATCATTTAGTTTATATCACTGAAAAACCTAGTCAGATTATTAAAAATCACTTTGCAAATATTGTTGGACCTTTTTTTCTCTAGCAATTAAAAAATGGTCATGAAACTAATTTTTTATTGTATATTTTTTATTTACATTTAAAATGCTATCCCCTTTTCCAGTCTCCCCCTGGAAACACCCTATCCCCTCCCTTCCCCCAGCATCTATGTTGCGTTCCACCATACACTCACCTATTCCCACCTCCCTGCCCTGGCATTCCCCTACACTGGGGCATCGAGCTTACTCAGATGGTAGGACCTGAATATATATGTCCTAAATGCAAAGACAGCCACATTCATAAAAGAAACAACCCTAAAGCTTAAATGACACACTGAACTCCACACATTTATAATGGGATACTTCAACACCCCATTCTCACCAATTGACATGTCATCCAACCAAAAGCAAACAAAGAAATAATGAACATAACTGTTTTTATGAATCAAATGGACTTAACAGACATCTATAGAACATTTTACCCAAACAATAAGAATATATCTTCTCAGATATCCATGAAACTTTCTTCAAAAATTTGACCATATAGTCGTTCAAAAAGCAAGCCCCCAAAATGCAAGAAATTGAAATATGACTTGTATTTTATTGTGGATTAAAGCTGGAATCCAATAACAATAGAAACACTAGAAAGGCTACATACTCATGGAAACTCTAGTCAATGATGTCTGGGTTAGAGAAAAAATAAAGAAAGAAATTAATGACTTTCTAGAATTCAATGAAAATGAAGTCATAACATACCCAAAGTTATGAGACAGAACGAAAACATTGCTAAGAGGAAAGGCCATTTCACAAAAAGCCTATAGAAAACATTTAGAAAGTTTTCACACCAGCAATTTAACAGAAGCATGAAAGATCTAGAAAAAGAAGCAAACACAATGAAGTGAATTAGAAGGCAGGAAATAATCAAAACCAAGGCTGACTAGAAACAAAGAAAATAAGAGCTAATACCAATACTCCTCAAACTATTCCACAAAATAGAAACAGAAAGTATAGTACCTAATTTATTCTATGAAGACACTGTTACTTTGATACTTAAACAACACAAAGACCCAACAAAGAAAAAGAACTTCAGCCCAATTTCACTTACTGAATAGTGCTGTAAAGATACTCAACAAAATTCTCGAAAACCAAATCCAGGAACACAACAAAAGCATCATTCATGACAATTATGTAGACTTCACTCCAGGGATGCAGGGATGGTTCAATATATAAAATATTAATGTAATCTTCAATAAAACAAATGAAAAGAATAAAGTCACATGAACATTTCATTAGATGGTGAAAAATCATCTGACAAAATCTGAGACCCCTTCATGGTAATAGTCTTAGATAAATCAGTAGTTCATGGCACATACAGAGTCATAATTATAGCAATATTCAGCAAACCAACAGCCAACATCAAATTAAATGATGAGAAACTTGAAGCAATCCCATTAAAATCAGGATGAAGACCAGGCTGCACATTCTCTTTTTCTATTCAATTTAGTACTTGCAGTTCTACCTAGAGCATCAACACAACTAAAGGAGATAAAGGGGATACAAATTGGAGAGGAAGAAATCAAGGTATCACTATTTGCGAATGATATGATAGTATACATATGTGACCCCAACAATCCTATCAGAGAACTCCTAAATCTGATACACAACTTCACCAAAGCGGCTAGATATATAATTACAGAAAAAATCCATGACAGCCAGGAGCCTAGCATGGCTGCCCTCTGAGAGGCCCAACAAGTAGTTGAATGAGACAGATGTAGATACTACACCCAACCAATTAACAGAAGTCAGGCACACTTGTGGTTGAATTAGGGAACGGCTGGAAGAAGTTGTGGAGGAGGTCAACCCCATAGGAAGACCAGCAGTCTCAACTATCCTGGACCCTTGAAACCCCTCAGATACTGACCCACCAACCAGACAGCATACAATAGCTAATATAAGGCCCCTAACACATATACAACAGAGAACAGCCTATTCTGGCCTCAGTGAGAGAAGATGTACCTAACCCTTGAGAGGCTTGAAGCACCCAGGTGTGTAGAGGCCTGGCATGGTATAGGGTAGGATAAGGATATCCTCTTGGAGATGGAGAGAAGGAAGAATGGGATGAGGAACTGTCAGAGGGTGGACTGGGAAGGGGATAAGGACTGTAAAAAACAATCAAAGATAATTTAAAAAGAGAGAGAAAATCAACAGGATAGAAAAACCCTTAGAAAAACCAACCCAAAGACAGAGAGACAGTATCCAAATCAAAATGGATGATTTTCTATATAGACACCACCTCTCAAAGTTAAATTAAGATCAGGTAAAATATTTACCTTCTATAGAAAAAGAAGCAGTCAGTAAAAGTATTTAAAAAAAAAAAAGCACAGAGCCGGGCAGTTTTAGTGTAGACTTGTACCAGACTTACAAAAGAGAGCTAATAGTGATACTTCTCAAATGATTCCACAAAGTAGAAACAGAGACAACTCGCTGTATCACATCACAGTCACTCTGACCCGCTAGGCTTTTATCTAGAATCCATCATGGCTTTATGGTCCATGGTGAAACCATCTCAGAAAGATGGCCTGCTAGATTTTTATCTCCTTATGGCTCCTGGCAATTTCCCATACTCATTAACTGGTAGGATTTACATAGTGAAAATGTCCATCTTACCAATAGCAGTTTAAAGATTCAATGCCTTTCTCAAAAAAAATCCCATCATGATTATTTTTATAAAAAAAACCAAACGGTAATTTTTACTTACTAACATAGGGGTTATAAACACAAAAAGGCAAGACATGGGGAAACACAGATACCTTTCCAAACAGTGTATTGGCTGGGTGAAGGTTCAGGGGGAAAGGTCACTATAACTCTGCATACCCATCATGATTCTTAACAGAACTTGACAAACCAATTCTCAACTTCATATGGAAGAACATATAAACCAAGATAGCCAATACAATCCTGAACAATAAACAGACTTTGGAAAGAATCACCATTCTTGACATCAAGCAGCATTATAGAGCAATAGTAATAAAAACTGAATGTTATTGCTAAAGGAACACACAGATTATTTAATGAAACCAAACTGAAGTCCCTGAAATAAACCCATACCCTAGGGACACATGATTTTACAAAGAAGGCAAAACCATACAATGGAAAAAAGAAAGCATATTCAACAAATGGTGTTGATCTAACTGGATGTCTACATGTAGAAGAGTGGAAATAGACCCATATCCATCACCCTGCACAAAATTCAAGTCCAAGTAGATTAATGATCTCAACCTAAAATCAGATACACTAAATCTAACAGAAGAGAAAGTGAGAAATAGTCTTCAACTCACTGGTACAGAAGATAAATTCGTGAACAGACACCAATGATGCAGGCTCTAGAATCAACAATTGATGAATGAGCCTTTGTGAAGTGAAAATCTGTAAGGCAAAGGACACTGTAACTAGGGCAAAATACCAGGCTAAAGATTTGGAAAAAGATCTTCACCAAGACTACATCTGAGTAGGGCTAATATTAAAAGTTTATAAAGAGCCCAAGAAGTTAGACACAAATAACCCAATAAAAAATAGGAAATAGTGTTAAACAGAATTCTCAAAAGATGGATATCAAATGGATGAGAAACACTTAAAGAAATGTTCAAAGTTCATAGTTATGAGTGAAATGCAAATCAAAATGACTGAAATTCTATCTTATGCCTGTCAGAATGGCTAAGATAAAAAGCTGAAGTGAAAATGCATGAAGTTGAGGATGTGGATCAAGGGAACACTTGATTAACTAACATTCTGTTTAGAATGGCAACTGGTACAAATTTAATTGAAAATTAATCTGGAGATTTCTCAGAAAACTGCCAATCTTCCTACCTCAATATCCAATAATCAATCAACAACACCCAATAACTCAACAATCAATAATCAGCACACTCAATACTACTCCTGGGCATATACCTAAAAGATGCTCCACCAAGCCATGTATACATTTCATTAACTACATGCTTTTAGACATTTGTTCATAGCAGCTTTATTAATAAAAGCCAGAAAGTGAAAAAGACCTATATGTCTTTCAAGTAAAGAATGGAATAAGAAAATATGATAGATCTTCACAATGTGATACTTTCCAGATATTAAAAACAAAGACATCATGAAATTTATAGGTAAATGGATAAAACTTCAGAATTTCGTCGTGAGTAAAGATAATCTTAGCTAAAACTCATAACTCTGTATATATGGAACTTGAAGGGGCCACCTCCCGTAGCAAGGCAGGAACTGTAGTGGAGTGATTGGTATACCAACTCACCCACAAAACTTTGGAGCCAAAATTTATCCTGTCTACAAAAATTCAGGGACTGGGAGTAGAGCAGATACTGAGGGGATGACCAAACAGTAACTGGTCCATCT